GGTAGGTAGATAGATAGATAGATAAATATGTATATAGATATATAGGTATAGAGATATAGATATATATAGCGATATATAGAAATATATAGAGATATATAGAGATATATAGAGATATATAGAGATATATAGAGATATATATAGAGATATATAGAGATATATATAGAGATATAGATATATAGATATATAGATAATTATATAGATATATTATATATATAGATATATAGATATATAGATACAGCCATAGATAGACATAGATAGATATAGATACGTAGATATAGATAGATGTAGATAGATATAGATGGATATAGATGGATATAGATAGCTATAGATAGATATAGATAGATACAGATAGATATAGATAGATATAAATAGATTTAGATAGAAAAAGATAGATACAGATAGATCTTCCTTCCTTCCTTCATTCCTTCCTTCATTCCTTCCTTGCTTCCCTTCCTTCCTTCCTTCCTTCCTTCCTTCCTTCCTTCCTTCCTTCCTTCCTCCCCTTCCCTTCCTTTCCTTTCCTTTCCTTTTCTTTCCTTTTCCCTTCCTTCTCTCCTACTAGTTGCTATTGTTTTTAGACCGATTTTTTGTTTGATCCGGATTTTTTTTCTTCATCCGGAAAAACATTTTCTTGATCCGGAAAGATTTTTTTTTACCCCTCCCCCTTCGTTGTGGGTCTTTCCCTGTCGCTCCAAGTCTCTTTTTTTTCGTTGCAGCGTTGTCCTCCTCTTTTAATAAGTCCTTCCTCTTAATTGCTTCTCCTTCCTTTTCGTTTAAACTCGTGCGTTTTCGTTGTGGGTCTTTCCCTGTCGTTCCAAGTCCTTTTTTTCGTTGCAGCGTTGTCCGCTTCTTTTAATAAGTCCCTCCTCTTAATTGCGTCTCCTTCCTTTTCGTTGGAACTCGTGCGTTTTCGTTGTGGGTCTTTCCCTGTCGTTCGAAGCTTTCTTTTTTCCGTTGCAGTGCTGTCCTCCTCTTTTAGTAAGTCTTTCCTCTTAATCGCTTCTCCTTCCTTTTCGTTTAAACTCGTGCGTTTTCGTTGTGGGTCTTTCCCTGTCGTTCCAAGTCCTTTTTTTCGTTGCAGCGTTGTCCGCTTCTTTTAATAAGTCCCTCCTCTTAATTGCTTCTCCTTCCTTTTCGTTGGAACTCGTGCGTTTTCGTTGTGGGTCTTTCCCTGTCGTTCGAAGCTCTCTTTTTTCCGTTGCAGTGCTGTCCTCCTCTTTTAGTAAGTCTTTCCTCTTAATCGCTTCTCCCTCCTTTTCGTTTAAACTCGTGCGTTTTCGTTGTGGGTCTTTCCCTGTCGTTCCAAGTCCTTTTTTTCGTTGCAGCGTTGTCCGCTTCTTTTAATAAGTCCCTCCTCTTAATTGCGTCTCCTTCCTTTTCGTTGGAACTCGTGCGTTTTCGTTGTGGGTCTTTCCCTGTCGTTCCAAGTCTCTTATTTTTCGTTGCAGCGTTGTCCGCTTCTTTTAATAAGTCTTTCCTCTTAATTGCTTCTCCTTCCTTTTCGTTTAAACTCGTGCGTTTTCTTGTGGGTCTTTCCCTGTCGTTCCAAGTCCTTTTTTTCGTTGCAGCGTTGTCCGCTTCTTTTAATAAGTCCCTCCTCTTAATTGCGTCTCCTTCCTTTTCGTTGGAACTCGTGCGTTTTCGTTGTGGGTCTTTCCCTGTCGTTCCAAGTCCTTTTTTTCGTTGCAGCGTTGTCCGCTTCTTTTAATAAGTCCCTCCTCTTAATTGCGTCTCCGTCCTTTTCGTTGGAACTCGTGCGTTTTCGTTGTGGGTCTTTCCCTGTCGTTCCAAGTCTCTTATTTTTCGTTGCAGCGTTGTCCGCTTCTTTTAATAAGTCTTTCCTCTTAATTGCTTCTCCTTCCTTTTCGTTTAAACTCGTGCGTTTTCTTGTGGGTCTTTCCCTGTCGTTCCAAGTCTCTTATTTTTCGTTGCAGCGTTGTCCGCTTCTTTTAATAAGTCCTTCCTCTTAATTGCTTCTCCTTCCTTTTCGTTTAAACTCGTGCGTTTTCGTTGTGGGTCTTTCCCTGTCGTTCCGAATGTGGGTTAGCCGCAGAAAATGTGGAAAAGTTTCCGTGGGTTAGCTGCGGAAAATGTGGAAAAGTTTCCGTGGGTTAGCCGCGGAAAATGTGGAAAAGTTTCCGTGGGAGGATGTCAGGCAGCCACTTGCGGCCACTTGCGGCCACTCGAGTGGCTGCAAGTGGCCGCGGAAAATGTGGAAAAGTTTCCGTGGGAGAAAGTCAGGCGGCCACTTGCGGCCACTTGCGGCCACTCGAGTGGCTGCAAGAGGCTGCAAGTGGCTGCCGGTGACAAGAGAATGCTGGCGGCCACTTGCGGCCACTCGAGTGGCTGCAAGTGGCTGCAAGTGGCTGCCGGTGACAAGAAAATGCTGCCACTTGCGGCCACTTGCGGCCACTCGAGTGGCTGTAAGAGGCTGCAAGTGGCTGCCGGTGACAAGAGAATGCTGGCGGCCACTTGCGGCCACTTGCGGCCACTGGAGTGGCTGCCGGTGACAAGAGAATGCTGGCGGCCACTTGCGGCCACGCCACTTGCGGCCACTTGCGGCCACTCGAGTGGCTGCAAGTGGCTGCAAGTGGCTGCCGGTGACAAGAAAATGCTGCCACTTGCGGCCACTTGCGGCCACTCGAGTGGCTGTAAGAGGCTGCAAGTGGCTGCCGGTGACAAGAGAATGCTGGCGGCCACTTGCGGCCACTTGCGGCCACTGGAGTGGCTGCCGGTGACAAGAGAATGCTGGCGGCCACTTGCGGCCACGCCACTTGCGGCCACTTGCGGCCACTCGAGTGGCTGCAAGTGGCTGCAAGTGGCTGCCGTGACAAGAGAATGCCGGCGGCCACTTGCGGCCACTTGCGGCCACTCCATTTCCAAAATCAAATTACGCGCCTCCTGCGTGCTCAATGAAGCGTCAGAAAAAAGAAGATCCAGGTACACGAAAAGGTAGGAAAGTCGCGAAACACTATGTTTTTCCAATGACTTGAGGCTCCGGAGGGTCGAAAAGTAGGCTCGCTAAAGCGGCGGGTGCAGCGCCAGCTGGCCAGATGAAAGATGAAAAATTGCACGCCGTTGTGGCGCGAAGCACATTTCGAAGTCAAAATAAACAAATTCAAAATACACCAGGTTCGGACCACTTTTGGAAGTTGAAATGTCGAAAAAGTGCACGCCGTTGTGGTGCGAAGCACATTTCGAAGTCAAAATGTTAAAAACACCAGGGGTTTGGACAACTTTTGGAGGTTCAGACGTCGTTTCGCGTGGCAGGCGCAAGGGATTGTGTATCTTGTCAAAAGTGAGCAAAACGTGAGGGTCTTATGGCATTTCCAACAACGATGGCAGGCGTGGGACTGTTGAAGAGGATCTGCAAAGATGCATTTTCCGTGGCAGGCGCAGTACAAGAGACATGTTCATCAGAGCTGTTAGGAGGTCCGGGTGCTGATTTCCTGAGACGGGTTGTATTTTGGAGCATCAGATCTTCAGGTTTGCTGAGATGATTTTGCGTGACAGGCGCAGCACTTCGTATGACCTGGCATCACTTTTTCGTGGCAGGCGCAGTATTTTAGATAGGTGGACTGGGAAAATCGCAAAACGCATTGGCACGAGGCCGTCAGCTCTGCACTCAATTCTTCATTTTTGAAGGACGTCTCGCAAAATTCTTTCGTTTTTGATGTTGTCAGCTTCCAAAAAGAAGAAGTCTCGCAAAAAATTACATCGTTTTTGACGTTATCAAGTTCAAAAATTGGCCAAATTTAAAAATTGAGGAAGTCTCGCAGAATAACTTCGTTTTCAAGCTTGCAGGTAGACAGATAGATAGATGGACAGCTACAACTGCAACTACAACTACAAGTACCACTACACTCTACTACTACAATTACAAGTACAAATATACTACTCTACAGTGCACAACACTAATTACACTACACTACACTAATTACATCCAATTCCATCTAATTACACTACACTACAACGACTACTTACACTACACTATCACTACTACAACAGCAACAACAACAGCAGCAACAACAACTACTACTACTACTACTACTATTACTACCACTACTACTCCTACTACTACTACTACTACTACTACTACTACCACTACTGCTACTACCACCACCACTACTACTACTGCTACCACCACCACAGCTACAACTACAATGACACCTACACTATATTACGCTACAATACACTGATTAAACTGCATTGCATTACAGCTACACAAACACAAATACAACTACAACTACACTACATTACACAACGCTACCGCTACACTACACTAATTACATTACATCACACTACAACTGCAACTACCACTACATTGCATTATACGACACTACACAGCAACTACAACTACGCTACTTTACACTACAATACACTACAATACACTACACTATACCACGCTACAGTACACAACGCTACAGTACACTACAATACACTACACTAATTACACCACACCACAACTACACTACACTAATTACACTACATTACAACTACAACTTACAACTACAACTACACAACAACTACCACTACAACTACACCTACAACTACAACTACAAACTGCACTACACCAAACTACATCCAGCAGTTGTGGTGAGGTGATCACTGCAACCATTGCACCCACTCCAGAAAACACAACTCCAACCACCTTTCGGTTCATCAGTGGATTCGCTCTGCCATCCGTGAGTCACAACAGCCAACCTCTCCTATAGGTTTCTTATTTTTGAAACTTCCGCCACCGCCTTGCGCGGTACTACTGGTAATTATTACAGTAATATTTAATATTGAGTATTGTTCTTAGATATATATATATAATTATATATATTAATATAATTATATAATATTATATATATATATGTTTTTTTTTGCAATACGTAATGCGTAATTCGCGCGCGCGCGCGTCCCCTCGGCTCCCTTAAAATTTCGATAAAGGCATGGGCATCATTCTGTACGTATGTGTTATGTGCGTCCGATATCATATCCGATAATCGTAGTAATTTTTCCTCTGCATTTGTTTTAAACAGATTATCTCATGGAGACATATTCTCCACAATTATTCCAGGTAATCTGTCCGAGTCGGAGGTCTGCCAAACCGCAATATCCTGCTAGATCGAACAATGGTGAGAAATGACAAGAATACTCAAAAGCTGAAAAAAAGTGAAATCTCAATCTTCTTGCTCTAGTAACTGTCCTTGATAGCTTGTAGTGCATCAGTTGGAACTGCCTGACCAGCAGAACGACAAGGGAGAAGATGGAAAACATGTATCCTCATCTTCAAACAAAGAGGTGACGCTTGGATGACTGAAACTCATGCCTGCATTATGGATGCTTTTTGGACCTCGAAATACTTTGCAGCCTGGCCTCGACAAGACGATCCTGTCGACCCTCCACCTTGGCCATCCGATTGCCAATCGTTTGTCTTGTCTTGAGCACACTTTGAAAATCCCAAGTGGCTGATCTAGCTTATGTTGGAGATCCTATAGGTGCACTGTGAAAGCTGTGGCTTGCAAATGCACTTCTGGCCCTGAATCTGCGCTCCTGGCCTGTTCCTGCCACGCTGGGGACTCGCGACACGAGTCTACCAAGCGATTCAGTGGAGCCTTAACAGAAAATTTCATTGGCCTGAGGAAGACTGGGAACCAAGTTTCGATATTAGCATGAAAAATCCGTGTCCATGTCCACATCTCAAAAATCAGACACCACTGATACCACGCTTCATTTGTGAGAAAGTTGAACGCAGCCTTGTCTCATTGGTCTGTCAAAGTGCAAAAGCATCGCATGCAAGCAAGTCAAGATACTAAGGTAGATTTATGTAAATATATGCACATGGCCGGGCTTTGATCTGAGCCAGAGGCAACTTGGTCTTCGGTGAGCTCGTTCTGTGCCTTCGGCATCGATGAGCCAAAATTTAAAAATTCCTCAATTTGTGTGGTTTCACGCATGTGTAGATACTCTGAGCAGCAGCTGCGGCACCCAGATTTCTGAAACTGATTCTGCCCTCAGCGGGTTCTTTACACCCCATTCTTGAATCCTGCCCTGCCCCACATCGCAGGCAACCACTGATATGCAATGCCTTGGCTTTCATCCGATCTGTGAAGTGGTCCAAGTAGTCCTTGCCCACGTGCGCCTGGGAAACAGCAACAGGTCCTCAACCTTGACCTACATGCCACAATCAGCAAGGGTCCATGGTGGAGCATGGTATACCTCGGTGTCAAACACACTCACTCTCCTGTGGGGCAGTAATCTGGTATTTGTTAAGCACAAAAATCTTGCTTTTGCAACGAATAAAAAACAAAGCGGCCCTTATCGTGGGAGCCCCGCCGGACAAATCCGCTCATGACCAACCAGAAGCCAATGATCCTAGGCACAAAGGCCACCACATCCAAATCAAAAAAGGATCTCATTAAACTGCTCTCAGTCATTGGAACTTTGCTCAACTACCATCTCCAATCATTGGCACCGGCCATGTCCATTCTGACACATGAACTCCTTCCCCCCGCAATCAACGGAGCGCTGAAGCTGCAAAGGTATATTGAAAGTGTTTACAATGTACACATTACCGCCATGAGTTGGGCCATATGATTTCAAACAGTTGCACGATCACCACCTAGGAGGATCACCACCCACTCGCACGATGACATGGAGGTTGCTTGGCAGCAGCACCTGGACATGCTGCTGTGGGACCGCATGCTGTTTCATCCTCAACCCACTTTGTATACCAACAGTCTTCTTCTGTTGAGTTTGTCGATATTTGTGAAATGTCACGAACATATGAAAATCGGATTTGCCTCTACTGGTACACAAATGTGTCAACTCCACCTGTTTGAACATTTGAATTGAAAGGAACGTGTTTGATCGATCTTCGATGTGCGCTGGGTGAAGTATCAAGCAAATGATGGGACTGTCATTGCCGGCCTTCCGTGAGTACCATGTCGTGCAGCCATTTGCAAACGCCACTCCGACACCTCAAAGGTACATACCACTATTACCCGCACAAGGCGGGGCAGAAGTTGCCTTAAAGATATATATATATATAAGACCTTTCTCATCTATAGAACTTGCATGCGCCGTGCGCCAGCCAAGCCCGTCCGTGCATGCATTCTTCAAAAGCGGTGTCCTGTTTCACATCTCACATTTGAAGCTCCACTTCGCTCTTCACGCTTCGCACTCCGCACTTCACACTCCACACTCCACACTCCACACTTCACGCTTCCCACTGCACACTCCACACTTCACACTTCACACAACACACTTCACACTTCACAGTCCACACTTCACACTTCACACTCCACACTTCACACTTCACGGTCCACACTTCACACTTCACACTCCACACTTCACACTTCACACTCCACACTTCACACTGCACTCTTCACGCCCCACACTTCACACTGCACCCTTCACACTCCACACTTCATCTCATCTGAGCTCTTCTCACCTTATCCCAGCTCATCTCTTCTCATATATGTCATCTAAGCTTTCATGAATCACTTCCCAGTACTACTACTAAGGAACTTGCATGCGCCGTGCGCCAGCCATTCCCGTCCGTGCGTGCTTTGTGCGAAGCTGTTGCAGTGTTGCTGTCCAAGAACATGACCTGCGCGCGACCCGGGTACAATGCAAACACTTTCCTCACACTTCACATTGCACTCTTCACACCCCACACTCCACACTTCACACTTGCACTTCATCTCAACTCATCTCATCTGAGCTCTTTTCATCTCACTCCATGTCTTCCCATATGTCAGCTAAGTTCTTCTTGGCTATTTTCATGTCAAGTACCAGTACTGATGTCTACTACAAAAGCTTGCAAAAACCACTTCCCAGTACTACTTTGTACTACAAAGCTTGCGCAAAACACGTTCCAGTACTACTTTGTACTACAAAGCGTGCACAAAGCACTTCCCAGTACTACTTTGTACTACAAAGCTTGCACAAAACACTTCCCAGTACTACTTTGTACTACAAAGCTTGCACAAAACACGTTCCAGTGCTACTTTGTACTACAAAGCTTGCACAAAGCAGTTCCCAGTACTACTTTGTACTACAAAGCTTGCACAAAGCACTTCCCAGTACTACTTTGTACTACAAAGCTTGCACAAAGGCGTCGGAAATTGCAGTTCCAAAACCCGATCTCGACGCCAAAGCGACAAAAAGACGATTTTGAAGCACTTTTTAACAGGAATTTTACAAGGAATATTACTAGCGCGAAAATTAAAAGAAAATCTGCTGACAAATCCCTATCGCAGCCTGGATGCAGCCACTCCAATACGATTTACAATCTTCAGCTGCAAAATACACTAGTATTACGCATGCAGCCGCGGCACCAAGCAACCTTGACGCAGGCATTCCAATGCAATTTGCAGAGACTGAGTTGCAAAACACAATAGAACTACGCGCAACGGCCTCGGAAACTGCAGCTCCAAAACCGGATCTCGACGCCACAGCGACGAAAAGACGATTTTGAAGCACTTTTTAAAAGGAATTTTACAAGGAAAATTACTATCGCCAAAATTAAGAAAATCCGCCCACACCGCTTTGGCGGTGAAGGCGTGCTTATTGGGGGGCAACAGCAACACTAAATGCTCAATGACATTTGTTAATATAGCAGTCGCTATATCAGCTTTAGCTGGGGGGGGGGGCCCAAAAACGGTTTCGCACCGAGACCAGACCCCAAAAACGGTTTCGCACCGAGACCAGAATACGGTGGTGTTTTCGAAATTTTTCGAGGATTTTTGGGTGTCTGAGCGCAAGAGGGTATTGAAATGGAATTTTGGGTCATTTTGGTAGCTTTCCGGCAATGGAAAAACGGCCAAAAATGAAAAAAACATTGTACATAGCAAGATTTTGCATGGTTTTTGGATGCCAGAGCATTGAAAACACTGCAAAAACAAGTGTTTTGGACTGACGTTATAGCAAAAAAACGTGTAAATTACCGCATGCTTGACTTAACATTACAAAAACACTGTCAAAAGCAATGTTTTGGAAGGATTTACTGCCTTTATGGCAAAAAACGTGTAAATTACCGTCTGTTTGACTGGAAACATTGGAAAAACACTGTCAAAAACAATGTTTTGGAAGGATTTCTTATTTGAAGAGCCCCCACGGGGGAAAACCACCCTTAGCCCCTCTCACGGACCGAAATAAACCTGCGGTGCGGGCGGCCACCCCACGCGAAGCGGGGTGAATATGCTGACAAATCACTAACGCAACCTGGATGCAGCCATTCCAATACGATTTACAATCTTCAGCTGCAAAATACAATAGTATTACGCATGCAGCCGCGGCACCAAGCAACCTTGACGCAGGCATTCCAATGCGATCTGCAGCGACTGAGTTGCAAAACACAATAGAACTACGTGCAACGGCCTCGGAAACTGCAACTCCAAAACCGGAATCTCTTTCCTCACATAACAACAACAAATGACAACAATCATGCAGCCATTCCAATGCGATCTGCAACCACAGCTTCAAGAAACGCATAGAACTACGCACACAGGAACAACCACTCGTTGCAAAACACATAGGAGGAACAATTCGCGACAGAAACGACCGCAGCCGCAACCGCCGCACAGACGAGGTACCTTTCATCGCCGGCTGCAGCCACTTTAAACGGAAAAACACAAGGTTTCGTGCTCCGGCTTCCTCCCCAAAACATAGCCCATGCAACATTCATGCAACCATTACAATGCGATCTGCCACCACAGCTTCAAGAAACGCATAGAACTACGCACACAGGAACAACCACTCGTTGCAAAACACATAGGAGGAACAATTCGCGACAGAAACGACCGCAGCCGCAACCGCCGCACAGACGAGGTACCTTTCATCGCCGGCTGCAGCCACTTTACACGGAAAAACACAAGGTTTCGTGCTCCGCTTCCTCCCCAACACAAAGCCCATGCAACATCATGCAGCAATTCCAATGCGATCTGCCACCACAGCTTCAAGAAACGCATAGAACTACGCACACAGGAACAACCACTCGTTGCAAAACACATAGAAGGAACAATTCGCGGCAGAAACGACCGCAGCCGCAACCGCCGCACAGACGAGGTACCTTTCATCGCCGGCTGCAGCCACTTTACACGGAAAACACAAGGTTTCGTGCTCCGGCTTCCTCCCCAACACAAAGCCCATGCAACATCATGCAGCCATTCCAATGCGATCTGCTACCACAGCTTCAAGAAAAGCATAGAACTACGCACACAGGAACAACCACTCGTTGTAAAACACATAGGAGGAACAATTCGCGACAGAAACGACCGCAGCCGCAACCGCCGCACAGCCGAGGTACCTTTCATCGCCGGCTGCAGCCACTTTACACGGAAAAACACAAGGTTTCGTGCTCCGGCTTCCTCCCCCACACAAAGCCCATGCAACATCATGCAGCCATTCCAATGCGATCTGGCACCACAGCTTCAAGAAACGCATAGAACTACGCACACAGGAACAAGCATTGTTGCAAAACACATAGAAGGAACCAAACGACCCCAGCCGCAACCGCCGCACAGACGAGGTAGCTTTCATCGCCGGCTGCAGCCACTTTACACGGAAAAACACAAGGTTTCGTGCTCCGGCTTCCTCCCCAAAACATAGCCCATGCAACAGTCATGCAGCCATTCCAATGCGATCTGCAACCACAGCTTCAAGAACCGCATAGAACTACGCACACAGGAACAACCACTCGTTGCAAAACACATAGGAGGAACAATTCGCGACAGAAACGACCGCAGCCGCAACCGCCGCACAGACGAGGTACCTTTCATCGCCGGCTGCAGCCACTTTACACGGAAAAACAAGGTTTCGTGCTCCGGCTTCCTCCCCAAAACATAGCCCATGCAACATTCATGCAGCTTCCCTTTGTCACCACTTCTCCTCCTCACCACTTCCCTTCCTCAGCACTTCCCATCGTCACCACTTCCCATCGTCACCACTTCCCATCGTCACCACTTCCCTTTGTCACCACTTCCCTTCCTCGCCACTTCCCATCGTAACCACTTCCCTTCTTCACCACTTTCTTTCGTGATCACTTCCCTTCCTCGCCACTTCCCATGGTAACCCCTTCCCTTCGTCACCACCTCAACACTTCCCATCGTCCCCACCTCCCTTCGTCACCACTGTCATGTAAAGTCTCACACCACCCTTCATCAAGGTCAAGTCTCAATGTGATGTATTGTTATGTCATGTAAAGTCTCACACCACCCTTCATCAAGGTCAAGTCTCAATGTGATGTATTGCTATGTCATGTAAAGTCTCACACCACCCTTCATCAAGGTCAAGTCTCAATGTGATGCAGTGTTATGTCATGTAAAGTCTCACACCACCCTTCATCAAGGTCAAGTCTCAATCGCGCACCACCCTTCAAGGTCAAGTCTCAATCGCGCACCACCCTTCAAGGTCAAGTGTCAATCGCGCACCACCCTTCATCATTTCAAGTCTCAGAATTCTATTTGTCCGTAACACGGAAGTATTGCTTCCCAACTTCCTTTGATAATAATCAAAATCCATCAAAAAAACAAAAAGTGCTCTCTACAAAGCTCGTATTCCAGCTGCGCAAAGCAATACTAAAAATTGCCCAAAAGCCTTAATTGAAGGGGTTTCTGAGGCTACTGGCCTGCAAGGTGTAAAGCATTGCATAGGTCTGCTCCAAATAGAATTGAGCACGATCCTGGCACAAAGCGTCAAAGGAGCTCAACGGCTTCGGACAGGCTTTGTGCAGAGGAAGGCAGTCTCAGGAACTGTAAGAACTGCCATGGCTCGGCTCTTGTTGCTCAACAAGCAAATTGAAAGTCATGATGCATCCTTTTTGGTTGAGGCATATTGGTGTAAGGGCAAGACGAAAAACTTTACTAGTAAGGCAAACTATAGAATCAACAAACATCCTGGCCCTCACTAGAACATGTCCTCTGCAAGACTTGTCTACAGTTCAAGATTTGTTGGCTCTGGGAATCGTCCTCTGCAGAAAATTGCAAAACACTGTAGATCTGACAAAGCACGCATGCCACGTAGAAATGTCCCTGGGTTGGTCCACCAAGCCTTGTCCAGTGCGGACGGCATAGTGTCCCTTGAAACCTTTGACTCTGACAGTTTTGCGGCTACATCGACCGGCCTGCATCTGTTGCACTTCCGAAGCAACGGTCTCATCCAAGGCCTGCAAACGCAAAGTGTGCAAAGAAATCCAAAGATAATAACACACGAATATACATATATAAATGATTATAGATAATATGTCGCTAGAGTGCCATCGAGATTGAAAAATGCCCATGGGCATAGCTTTTTCGGCCAGCAATGCCTCTGGTAAGAATCTGCTGTCTTGAAACGGTCCAGCAAATGCATCTTCACGATCCAAAGTGAGTTGCATTTGAAAAGACAAACGGCAAACCCTGCTCAAGTACTTGGTGTTGTCTGGGCATGTTTGCCTCTGTTTGTATCTCCAGTGGATCCTTCTGTGCTCGTGGCAGTGGAAGCATGCTGCTCGTATTCAGAGCACTCAGCCGAACAGGACATCTCCTTGCCACATTTTGCCACCTGATCCATCTGGGCGTGTCCAGCCGTGATGGATCCACTGTCGGGAGATGTCGGGAGTCATGGTTGAACTGACGCCAAGGTGAAGCCGGCAGCTGCGCGGATAGCCGCTGAGTTGGGCACCACGACCCCTGCTTTTCTTCGTTGCTCCACGACACACCGTGGCAATTGCGTGGAGGCTGCAGGTGGACAGGTAGACACAATTCTTCGACTAAAATTTGCAGAGCTCGAACCCAAAAAACGGCAGAAATTGCATCACAATAACTCACTTCAGCACCTGTCAAAAGCAAGAGGTACATCTCGAGGAGCTCACTCTTCAGCGGAAAAAATATCAAGCACCGGAAAAACTGTGTTACTGCATTTGCAAATACTTTACATGAAGATGTGCACAAATCAAGAAGCCACTCGAAGAGTCGCTGAACAACACAAAAATGTGGAGAATGTGCACAAGCGGAATCATGATTCCCTACGACCTCATGTTTGTATTGCCTCCTAACTCGCCCGGAAGAAAAATCCTAAGCACCAGGCAAGCCTTGAAGGTTGACTTGATAGTCTCCTGGAGTTCTAAATTCACCTGATTGCCCAGGTCGACAAACAACAAGAACCAACACTGTAGAACGTCTCCGCAGCTGCCAATATCATGGGGCCTTTTCAATATGCTGCAGCATCACTTTCTGCATGTCAAGAAGGTCTGCCTGTCAAGGCCACGGCAAAGGTTCAAAGGCTGGGACAGCCTGACTAGTATGTGCCCTGATGGATATGTGTGGTGAGAGCAAGACAAGGTCTTGTGATGCCAAGCCTGCGTAGCTAGAACCTCAATGCAAAAAAAAAACATACAGCGCAATAGACAAATGTCCCAAAGTTTCTCGAAGTCACAGTTGATAATGGGGACTACATCACTTCATCCTACTTGATTGTTCCAGCACGTCTGCAGCTGGCAAAAAGAACAAAACATTCTGGCTCCGGCGCGAAGAACAGTTAGGGGCAGGGCCAACGTCGCGTTTTCACCAGCTAGGTCAACGTGCCTCTTGGCATCTCGTCGTCACCCGATGTCACAAGGATTTGATTCAAACTGCGTAGGTGTGTATCTATATATATATATATATTAGGTGAGGTAGGGAAAATGTCTTGAACCACTCCGAAGCTGGTGCAGTACCCTGCCTATGCGAGGTTGCCTCGAACTCTTGTGAAATCCTCCAAATGAAGCAGGTCACTGCAGCTGATCAGCAGATTCATGACGTTTCATGAACACTTGTGGCGGTTCCTTTTTTCAGTGTCTGAAGCATTCATACGAGATCCTCCAAAGTTCCAGCTGGCATAGGTGTCCTTTGCACCACTAGGATTCCAGGCGCACTGCGTTCAGCTGCAGCAAAAGCAGAGAAAATCGTCAAGAACCTGCGCTGGAACCGCAACCAAGTGAAGGACTTGCATCCCCTGACATTTAATTTGCTCAGACTCCATGGAAGGGGATCGCTGGACCTCTTTTCAAGCATGCTTCTGCAGACACAAACACCCAGGTGAATGTCAATGTACAGCTAGACCTGCCTGTTTCTTGGGATGAATGTGTCAGGTTGAAGCAGGAATAACACAAACATGTGGCAAAAATTCGGACGTGCTACCTGTCAGCTAGCTGTACAGTTTCATTTGGCCTAGCGCAGCAAATGCAAACAAGCAAGCCACACCTCATGATGAATTTTCTCCTCTCGCCTGGGAAAGTGAGCTAAAACCATGTACTGTTGACGAAAATTGGATTTTAAGAACCACGCATCACAAGTCGTCCATACAAGAACACTTCACAGGCCTCGAGTAGGCTCCCACTCCTCCAGGGCGTGTTCTTCGGGCCTTTCACCACCATGTAAGGATTGGTAGATTTCAACAAACTAAGTCATTCTGATCCAAAATGTCAGCGGCTCGAAATTTGAAGCAGATCCCTGCCAAAAAGAAACATCCCTCAGAGGAGCTACTGGTACGTAGAGTGCGTCTTGTCAAAGCAGAACAGCAACTATGATCTTCTCATTCCATGGTCATCTCCTACTGGGAGCCTTCATGTATGCATTCAATTTGCCTTGACTGAAATTGCAAATAACTAGTCTCAGATTCCCTGCATATGGGTCACTGTTTTTTCAAAGTCAATAGCCTCGCCTCTGGACCTGCAAGAAAATTTGCCTCTTCTTAAGAGGCCCACACTGAAAATAGGGCCTTGCAATATGAGGAAGCATGCTCGTATTGTTGATCTTCCAGGCTACTGGGGAAATGCAGCAGAACTCGGTTTCTATTTGGCACCTAGTACAGTAACAGTTAGTAACAATACTAGCATGCACCCTCATCACGCGGCCAAAGTTGACTCAAAGGATGAATCCGAAAAATTTTCCCACCAGTTTGTCTGAATAAACTATCGGCATTGCTTTTGGCAGGTTTTTCCTGGTCGTTCAGCTAAGCAATTGCACTGGTCTTTGGATTCACATCCTAGTTGTTTTCTCGCTATGAAGAAAGAGGTCAACATGTTTGTCTGAGCACGAAATACATCGCAAGGGCTACAATGCACAGATTCCGCAGCAAAGGGATCATCCTTTAGTCAACACATCTGGTCGCCTCTCTCTTTTCGCAAAGATCTACAATTTTGCACTAGAAGTTTCAGTTTGCCAGGCTATGCTGCCTTTTTGTACAAGAACACGCTGCCAGCATTTGGTCGGGCGTTCCTTTCCTTCTCGGTCATGCAACTGTAAAGACGTGCTTATATGTCCTCCATTTTCTGCAATTCTGTGTTAATGCCCTTCATCTCCTACAATTTAAGCAAGAGTTCACCTCTCGTCGGTAGTATTCAGGACATTGGTCACGTGAGCTGGACCCGGCAATCGGTTCATTGAAAGCAATGGTTTCTTGAAACAATGACTGTTCTGTTTCAGTTGCACGTCAAACATCAGCATGGTGATAAAGTTTTCAATCCTGGTTTCAACAAAATACTTGATTGCCAAGTCATGCTCACCGAGCAGTCACCAATGAGCGGTCATAAACCTGTCGCCGGTTGGGATGCTAGAACATGCACACACAAAAAAAAAAACAAACATACATACCATACCATACCATACAATACCATACCATACCATACAATACCATACCATACAATACCATACCATACCATACAATACCATACCATGCCATACAATACCATACCATACCATACCATACAATACCATACAATACCATACATACCATACATACCATACAATCCATACAATCCATACATACCATACATACCATACATACCATACATACATACATACCATACATACCATACATACCATACATACCATACATACCATACATACCATACATACCATACATACCATACATACCATACATACCATACATACCATACATACCACACACATACCATACATACATACATAACATACAACATACATACAACAACATACCTATACATACACATTTTATTACATTACATTACATTACATTACATTGCATTGCATTGCATTACATTACATTACATTACTTACATTACATACATTACATACATTACATACATACATACATACATACGTACGTACGTACATACATACATACATACATGCATACATACATACATACATGCATACATACATACATGCATGCATACATACATACATCTCATAGCTACACACATGATTCCGGACGCTTCGCATTCCACTCCTTTTTCAAACTCCCTGCCAAAGCAGCCATCTCCTTTCACCAGAGGCTCTCCTCCGGTTTGCCTTGGATATGTCACAGAAGTGACACGTGCACAACTCCAGGTCAGTATCACCAGTGGTTAACCTGGTCACCCCAACTTGGAACCTGTATCCACAGGAATCACCAATTTGCTTGTCGGGATACAACTCTTGAACCTGTTGGAAAATGGGTCCATCTTGCACGACAATCTTACCTACTCTTGGAGCACATTGTTCAGCTAAGTGCATGATTTGGTTCAGTCTCGGGCGATGCTCCTCAGCATGAGACGCTCGTTGATCAGGCACAGGAGTCCCACTGGAACTCGAAAAACATGGAATGAACAGCTGTTCTGGGCTGAACTTTCCAGCAAGACGACAGCGTTTCGCATTGGGTGTCTCTTTCTCAGCTGAACCTGTCACGAAAGCAAGATCAGGGCCACTGTGAAACACTGAGTTGGGCATGGGCTTGATCTCCTCGGTCTCGAGCTCTTTGCGCTCCACATAGAGCTGCAGAAAGTACAGAAAAGCCTGATGGGATTCCTTCTGACTGTTCTGATACTTTCGGGCAAACCATTGAGTGTACTTTGGATCTTCCTCGGTCACGGTGATGAACTTCTGGTTCAGTTTGGTTTCTCCAAACGTGATCCTCATGTCTGCCAGCTCCTGGTACGACATGGCCTGGAACTCCTCGGTGTTCTTCTGCGTCTGAAGAGCCTGGAAACGATCCACGAGGCTGGAGGACGCCATGATCTTGGGATGTGAACACACTGTGCGGCGATGCAGAATCGGATGATTCCTTCAGGCTTGAGACAGTTGGCATCCGGTCGGATGCATCATTAGTCTGAATTGGCATGACCTGATCAACCTCCTCATCTTGCCTGACCTCAGAGTCTTTGACTGTGGATTGGTTCTCAGCTAATGGATGGTGAACATGCATGACCTGAGCTTCTTGAGTGGTGTCATCCGCAAGTACTGCGCACCACATTGACTCTTTCTGACAAGTGTGCAAAAATCCAAAAGATAGAGTTTCTTTTCCGACAACTTCAAAGGCATCCGGATGTTGATCTTGGAGAAAAACACAGAATCGTCAGCAGTTTCAATTTGAGCCCCCAACGTACGAAACACATTGTTTGACAACAAAAATGGAGTCTTGGAATTCACCACACAAATCTTCACGTGCCACTGAGCAAGAGGCACAAGCAGGGCATACTGACAATTCACTGTACTGTTGTTTCCAAAACGGAAAATGGTATCGCACGGGACTTTCTGGACCCTCTTGGCAACTTCGGCAGGCAAACCTTGAAGAACCTCTTGAACCTGTTGTTACCTATAACAGTCTGACTTGCCCCGAGATCCAGTATCCCGAATGGTCCATGGCTCACAAAGTGGACCTCAGCCGGACAGTCCGGTCGGACCGCAGCATCCGCATGCGACGCATGCTCAGGCCGCTGAGGGCTTAGACGGTGCTTCAGGGTACTCACAACCTGGACAATGACAGGTGGGACACAGACCGACTGGGGACACTCTGGACAACATTGACATCATGGATTAAACCGGGTGCTTGACTGGTTTTTGGACAACCCATGGCCTCCGTGGACTCGGCAGCACAATCATGTCATCCTCTGGAGAGGCAGACTCATCGGCAAGGACAGCTCCGGTGAAAGCGCCGGCATCTTTGGAAGACTGGCTACTGGCATTATTGGGATTAGTCCTGTTTAAAGGACACTCAGCTTTCCAGTGCCCTTTGGCACCGCAGCGCCTGCATTCAGATTCCAAGATGCGCTGGGCAAGCGGCTTCCGGAATCTGCCCGGACCCTTGCCCTTGGAATTGTTGAAACCCTTGGAGGTACCCCAAAATCCACGGCTCTTGTTCTTGTCGGAGATTCTACGCCTAGCATCAAGATACGTATTGTAACATGCTGCAAGTTCAGGGTCACACTGCCAGGCTTCACACAGGCTCTCTTCGAATTGCATGCAAACGATTGCATCGGGATCATTGTCGTCATACTGAAAATCCCATTCTTCCCAGGCCTCCCCAACAAAAGCTTGGTCTTCTTCTGACGGTGGGATCCCGGTTTCATCATCGAAAACAGCATTGACATCATATGTCTTGACTCGGCTGGGGTACTTGCTACCGGACTGCAGTTCATGAAAAACTTGGATCCAAGCAATTTGAGCGAAGACACAATGTTCTTATATTCCAAATTGCCCTGAGAGTCAACAAAGATATACGCACGGGTGTCTTCCAGTTTGACGCCCATTTGAAGCAACTCTTCAAACTGGTAATCATGTCGGGCCATGTAACTGTCATGGGATTCATCAGATCGTTGAACAGTGGTGTAAATGACACGTTCAAACCTTTCAAACTTCTCTTCCAAATTACGCTTCCCCCAGATACCGCCCAAAGTGGACACCAGCAACTGTACACCTGCAGTGCTATTGACCTTCAATTTGGCAGCATCAAGGCGCATCACACGCTTGAAGGAGCCTCCCTCGCACAACATCGCCGCCCTGGGCGCCAAATGCGAAAGATGCTCAACTGGCCAAAGGCTAGCCAGAAACTCCAACTTCTTCGTATACTCATTGATATCTGTTTCACCAGGTCGAAAATTGGGGATCATCGCCCACGGCAAATGCGTGAGAGAAGCATTGGTCGGTCCAGAACTCGAAGGAGGATTGTCTGTGTCTCCTGACATCCTGGATCAAAGCAGCTTCCGCTCAAAGACACCAATCAGAAAGAGCTTCACTACGAATCCACAGCCCTTTTCGTCGTCCTCGACGTGGAGCGGCTGCAGGTAGCTCCGCTACCAGTGCAGACAAGACTGCCCTGGTAGCACTCGTCCCTCAAATGATCTCAATGCCCTCCTGAGCAAAGGCACCACCACGCCTTTTCCAATGGCAACGCACGAAGGTCGCACGGTCGAGGTTCCCTAACCTCCAAAGCCCTCAGGGCCCTCCAGAGCCTAGATTCCACTGAATGAGGTATGACTCCAGCAGGTACAAATGGACAACACGTTGTCTCCCTATTGCATTCCACCTCCGCATGGTGACAGTGAAAGTTGGGTCCAGAAATTGCAGTATATATATATAGAGATGTATATATGTATATGTATATATATATATAATTGTATAATTGTATATATGTATATATGTATATATGTATATATGTATATATGTATATAATTGTATAATTGTATATATGTATATATGTATATATATATGTATATATGTATATATGTATATATGTATATATGTATATATGTATATATGTATATATGTATATATGTATATGTATATATGTATATATGTATATATGTATATATGTATATATGTATATATGTATATAGATGAGTCTGCGCATTCTCCACGTGTATGAGATATGCGGAGCGTACGCTGGAAAACACAAATTAATGAATTACAAAGCTCCAACGTCTTCGCACCGACTCGCACCTTGTCAATGGAGGCCAGGAACTTCCTTGCAAGTTGAGCTTACCGGCTTGACTCCAACTGAATGGAAACACTGGATTTGGATTGTTGGGGTTGCTTGGGTTATTGGCGTGTATGTGCAATGTGTTCATATTTTCCTCAAGCACCTGTGAACCAAGCATGGAATAGGCGCGTTTCGCCCTTGCTTCCCTTTGGCCAAGATAAGCAATCAGGCAGATTCCATTTACTAAATCAGCCAAGCATCTGGTAAGCTTTCTCCAGCTTCTTGCACTCTGGGTCCTTTCGGATTTTGTCCTTCAATTGCAGCACATCCAAAATGGCCCCACTTCTCGTCTCTCTTGCATCAAAGGAATTGTGATTCGCGCGAGATTGGTCTTTTCCTAGGTTCGGGCTGAATGGGCCATCGAGCCGGCTGGGACCCGTTGGAGCTTAGCTCTGCAGGTGGACTCTCTCTCTCTCTCTCTCTCTTTCGCATGTTGACTCAAACGTTTTCTACAGATTCTTGTCCTTGATGCAGCCTTCATTGAATTTCACTGCTCTGACACCCTTCACCACCTCACAGAGGCCATGTGTGGGGCAGTCTGCGCCATCAAAGATGCCATACTCAAGCTCCGCTCCATCAACAGTGCAGTGCTATTTGTTTGATCACGAGCCCACTGAAAAGTCGCTTCCTAAGGTTTTGAAGCTGTGTGTCACAATGGAGAAAGGCAACAATTATTGGCTTCCGGCATCTTCACGAGTGATTCCAATAGGAAGCATCTTCTCCTGAAAAAGGCCAAGCTAGCCTCTTTCAAGCCTCTTGTCCTTTTTCCAATCATGAACTTTACAATTTTGCAGCAAGCAAATTCACCATACCAGGACTCCAGGGAAAACAAAGCATACGTTTACAAACCCTCCTCTGGGCGGCACCCCCTGCCTGCGGGTATATATGCATGATGTAAATATATAATAGATATAAATCATATATATATATATGTGTGTGCTATCACATTGTTATATTGACAATGACAACCCTCATCGGCTCCTTCAGAGTAACATCCTGCATCTTCCCCAGAAGCTCCGCACGTGTGTCCACCGACTGACCTTCCTGTGCATGGCTTTGAGGCCATTCTGGCCATTCTCCGCACCATCTTTGGTCAAATTTTGTTTGAAAGTGTTCGAAGGTTGGTCAAATGAATCCCTTCAGCAACACAAAGCCAGCAATAACATCGGGAGTGGCTGCCCAGAGCAGGAATGATATGGAACGATACTACCATCTGCAACTGTGAGGCAACTCGCCATGCCAAACACTACCAGTGCGTTTCCACTCCTTGGCAAACTCAGTGAACCAAGATCGGAATTGCTTGTAGATCTCTTCCTGTCGGTACAATTTTCCGAAACTGTCAGAAAACTGGGAGGAAAGGAAAGGCTGAGAGAAGTACCCAGCCAATGTTGCAGATTGAGATGTCATATTATGAACCAAGTGAAAGACGGTTCCCATCACTTCCCACGTCTAGCCATAAGACTGTGTCACTTGAATTGATGCCCCTAGCCAATACACCCCGAGCGCATCCGCTGTCCTAAACAATCTAAATATGTCCTCATACATCATGTAATCTCAAAAAATGCCATGCAATATCTGCCACAATATCAATATCATATAATAATATGTAATATACAATATACTGTACATCTAAACATCAGAATCGCCGCAAGGCATTGCAGGCTTCATGGCAGGCGCAGTGCCTGGCGCTTCGTCTCCTTCTCGCGCCAGGCCTGGCGTGCTGCAACCACTTCTGGAGAGTCCTGCAACAAAGCAACTGATGCAACATTGAACTGATGCCTGTTGGATGGTTTGGATGCTTCTTGGCACTTTTTTGGCACTTGACTTGATCGCTCACTTGCATTCTTGCCTTTTTGTACCTTTTTGCAACACATGAAATATGATCGCAAAGCCCCAACAAAATTGATGTTTGAATTCAGAAGGCAGATCTATCATTCTCCGTCACAAAACGGAATGCCATAGCCATAGCAGCACCGCTCCGCTAGGCTCTTCATATCGTCCACACCAGGAACAGCGCTGCCCTCGGTCAAACTGATTCTGCACCGCTGCACCGTTCTTCTCAAAAATGTACTGCAAAAGCATACTGTAGCGCTTCGGCATACTGCTCAGTGCAACAGGCATCCAGTTCAGCTCTGCTGCATTCTGCTCACACTGGTCATGATGTCATGTTTAGGCCACGGCTGCAGGTCCTGCGCGGCCAACTTCTATGTCCTGGGCAAGTGCCGGTGCTGCAAAGCCTGCCACCTTGGACGCTGCCCAGGCCATGCAACCCTCTAAAACAATCACATCATGGATCGATTCGTAAAACTGAAATCTATGTGTATTTATATTATATTCATATTCATAGTCATATTCATACTCATAGTCATGGACATATTCATGTGTGCATGAATATGTATGTGTGTTTGTATGTGTTTGTATCTTATACATGTATGCATGTATGCATGTATGCATGTATGCATGTATGCATGTATGCATGTATGCATGTATGTATGTATGTATGTATGTATGTACGTACGTAGGTAGGTAGGTAGGTAGGTATGTACGTATGTACGTATGTACGTATGTACGCATCTATCTATCTATCTATCTATCTATCCATCTATTTATCTATCTATCTATCTATCTATGTATCTATGTATCTACGTATCTATGTATCTATGTATCTATGTATCTATGTCAATGTATCTATGTATCTATGTATCTATGTATCTATGTATCTATGTATCTACGTATCTATGTATCTATGTATGTATCTATGTATCTATGTATCTATGTATCTATGTATCTATGTATCTATGTATGTCATAGGTATCTATATACAACATGTTATATATAATAATATAATATATGATTTGCATGTAATTATGTAAATGAAATATAGGCAATTATATAGAACCAAATAAGCAAAAGCTAGCAATCGTTCATTGGGTCAGAACGCAGAGCCAAGTTTTGAAAAGCTGGGCGTCCCGACAATTGTGGCTGCAGCTGCACGTCTGAGTGGCAAATGGCATGTGGGGGCTCAAACCGTAACTGACGGCAACTGAGACAGTTAAAAGATGTTATATAAAAGTATCTCACACTCCATTCTTTTGTACACGAGAATTTCTTCCCCACCACCGCTTGTAAGCGACGCATTCCAATCTACATATCCTGGGCGCCCAAAAAGTTCCAAGTCCCAAACCTGGAGGTTGAAACCAGCCAGGCCTGTCAGGGCTCAATTGGTGAAGACCTGCTGAACCCGTACCCTGAACCCTACATGGTACCAGCTGGTTCATTGCAACGCAGCCAGTTCCAAGCACAAACCTGTGTGTTGACCATGAGCAAAAGCAAACTTACGAAAAACTTACTTTCGTCAGTTTCATGATCATTGCAATCAAATGACTTTGATGCAGGCTTTTGCTGCCTCTCCAAAGCTACTCATGGCAGCGACATACGCCAAGGCCTTGGATGTCACTGGCTTTGCAAGAAAATCTTCGGGAAAACAATGAGCCAAATAGATCAAGAATAGTCAAAACATGTCAAAACTCAAAACACCAAACGTCTCTCTCTAATGCCTCTCGCATTGTTCCTGGCCCTTCCCTCTACTTCATGCTAAACACCAAACGCAGGAAGATTACAAATTGCAAGGCAGCGCATCGTTTTGCAGCCGACACGGCCTTTACGAGCCCACCGAATAAGTGCATCAAAGTCTGCGACAAGCTCCATGATCTCCATGCAAACCGTGCAACTGCATTTTCTCAACTTGGCCCATCACCGCAAGCAGAAGAATCCAAGCACGCCTCTCCTTGAACTCCATGTTTGAACTATACAACAGAAGAATTGCCGGCCATTGCTCCCACTCAAATATTGCATCTGTTAGAAAAGTATTCCATGCCTGCACCTGAAGTCGCTGAGCTGCCATGGTTTGACCTTGCCATGGAGAGTTCATACTCGATCCAAGATGTTGCGACTAGCAATTGAATGCATTAGTAACATCTTCAAGCATCTCGAACCCAAAAATCATACTGTATCTGATGATAATAAACTTTAAACAAAAGGCCCTGCCTGGCGAGGCGACGAGACGAAACTATCAATGAAAAAAAATACTTGGGCCAGAATTGCCAGGCCAAGCCTATGCACGCTTGCCTGATCCAACGTGTGCCCTGACAAGCATCGTGTCTCACTGACTATATTGAGGAAACCACTTTTTGCAGTGTTAGACAGCGACCAAGGAAACACACTACCTTCCAAGAGCTGCTTCGTTGATCTGCTAAATGCATGCTGTGCAGGAATATGCCGGAATGCATCCTTGAATCGACCTGCCCCCATAGCGATACACTGGATAAGCCAAGCAATTCGAGCAGTTTTCAGGCTATACGGCCGCTCTGCAGCGCAATGCCGTCACACTTTGTCTTGTTGATGCTAGTGGTGGTTTGCGAGAGGCACAATGTACCTCAGCTATTTGTCGAAAAGAACCTATATCATCAAGGGGAAAGTGTTCACTGTCAAATCTATTTCATCGATGTGTGCACGGGATCAGACTGGAATGGAAGCTTGATCAGAGCAAGTGAATGGACAAAATACTGACGTATGAGTGGCGAACATATAATATCATATGAATAATTACATGCTGTTTGCACACCGTGGATGGTAATTCTTGGCACTATGTTGCACACCAGCGCCATGCCGGCACCATCACCTTAGAAGAGTGGCCGCAACAGACAAGTCGATTTAAGTCCAGAGTGACGAGCCTCATGTGCTGTCTAGACAGATGCAGCAGATGCGTATAGCCAAGCTAAAAAAGAAACGAATTGAACACAGGACAAGACTGAGGTCTTCACTGCGAGAATGGCCAGGTACGCACCAACCTCCACTAGCGGCACTAGGACCAGGAATGGAACAAGTAGGACAAGCCACAAGCATTTTACCAAATGTTACGGAATGCACTTGCGATCATTTTGATTTTTTTTATTATTTCGACCTACCAAATCTGTGTAATCTGCCAAGCCAACAAGAGGATCTCTTTAGGTCGCTTGAGGATATCTTCTGCGGCATCCTCCCTGTGCACCTCAAAGATTTTCCTCAGTATTGAATGATGTGTCCGCAGTCGGCATTAAGACTTGCCTTTTAATGGTTTCTACTCAACTGTCTTGCAAATAGCAGTATGAGAGATGGTAATTATATAGATAAAAATAAATAGTGTACTCGACTACGCTACACCACATGACTCAAACACCGCTGTTGACAATGCATTTATATACACGGAATGGTCCAAGATTCTCCTCTAACAGACTCGAACATCCGACATATCTCGTGAAGGCATGTGAAGGTCGGAAAGAGGCCGGATCCGGAACGTGTTCCTTCCGGATACATCCAAGGTTCAGCTGCCTGGTGAGATCAGCCAGCAGTGGCGAACCGTGACCTTTCAAACAAACGGCATGGGAGCCCAAACCAGCTCAAGGCATCGCTTTGTCCGAGTATATCCGAATGTCTTAGGAAAAAAGACCCCTTGGGCAAAACAGCATTCCATCATCTTCAAAACAGAACAACAAACATATGCGGCTTGAGCAGATTGGTTCTATTCGCACCAGTGTCCTGCTTCAGCTTCAACCGAAGGATCCAACGATAAACCCAAATGATTCCAAAACTATGTCATTGGGTTGCAAGAGTTTATAGGAATATCATTAGTACCTGCAAGAAACTGTTCGCGTGCATGATGTCCAGAAAAGTGTTTCTTGTGGCAATCTTTCACAATGTTGCTGACAATAGTTTGTTCTGTCGCAGGAATGTCGCTTGGCCAGGGGTGCAGCTATGCAACCGTGATCTATTGTATACGTAGCATCAGGCTCTACGTAATCGATTTGATACGCTTCAGAGATCTTCAGAGATATGATCTGATTCAGGGATAAGAGTTGTCTCTGCCCATTGGATCTATAGAAGTCTTGAAAGCTGGTGTCACTGAGAGTTGTGCGGAGCAAATTCACAGCATGCCGGTTGTACCTCACCCCAGCTGCACAAGCTACCGACAAGTTCGTCACAGCTGCCATTTTAGTGCTGAAAACTCTGAGATTTGTGCGTAAGGACATCATTTTTGACAACCTGCAAGGCCCAGTACTGGTCCAATCAAGCAGAACATGAATGATTCGCCAGTGCCAGGAAATCAGAGTCCAGCCGTGGAAACATTCAGGGTATGAACCAACTCGTAGCCTATAGCTCTGCAGGGGCAATGGGAACACGTTTTGCAAAATCAGGAACTGTGTGCGTGATTGTGCGTGTGCGTGCGTGCGTGAGAGGGAATTGATCACTCTGGACTCTAGAAGGTTGCTATCTTGTAGAAGTACCGTAGACTGTTCTGACCTGACCTACCAGCAAGTCTCAACCGCTTCTTTGCTCTCAAATGTTGGGATGTTGTTTCTCTATAGCTACTAGTATGAGGAAGTCATGCACGCTGCTGCGCCTGCTTCACAGCCCATTCAAACGACTTCTCCCAAGCAAGGCCTGGCAAGGTTTCCACGCGGTTTCTTTGGATTGTGAAATAATGTGAAACTGAAATCGAGTTGAAATAAGAGTTCCTGTGGCTTCTCGCGCAAAACAAGCACTGTCGGGCCTGTGGCAATGCCACAAACCGCCTTGGAACCATCCACGTGCTTTGGTGAGAGGATGCCAAATGTCCAGAATAAGTGCTGCTGGCACTAAAATCAGAGTGATTAGCCTTATGTCAATATCATTTCTCATTCTATGAATGGGCTCTTTGACTTTCCGGCTGTTGTGAGATGTTGAAGAAGGAACCAACCAAAGGTTCCGAAGGTTGAACATCTACAATCTAAACGCACTAATGACACTGGAATGACCCCTTTGCAGGAGAAATTGCAAGAAATACACTGCTATCCGGTACCATGCACCATGATGGCTCCCCACTTGACCAGTTCCCTCCGCTTCGCCACCAGCCGAGGGGCGATGAGCTCCTGGAGCTGGTCTTTCTGCAGCATGCGCCAGTCTGCCATGTAGCCCTGGCTGTCTTGGCTGTCACTCTGACAGTTCGACAATGTGTTCACTACATGGAAAAGTCCACATTACATAAAGAATAGAAATTATATGAAATGATGAGAGTTGACTTGTCCAATACCCAAAATTTTAGAGCAGGTCAGCATGTCAACTCACAGATGAGCGGACCAACACGAACATTGCGGTGATGGCCACTGCACTCACCGAAAAGAGTAGGAACAGCCTTGGCCAAAGAAGCTCCATGCACACGAGTGATGAATTTAAATATGTCTACAATAAACAAGAGTTGGCTCTCATCATTGCTTGAGCCACCCTCTGGCACATTGCTTTCATAAGGAAGCACCTCTTGCAATTTCATGGCATGTCCCTGCACAAATGCCAGCTGCAGTCCAGAGACCATCTATGGTCTGGGAGGTCCACATTCCTAAGGCGCAAGGCTCTTACAGTACCAGAGATTGGATCCAGCTGAGTGCACAAGAGCAGAAACCATCTCACCAGAGAGGCTCTTTGTTAGGGGCCACGGTACACTAGAAAAGCTGCAACAAGCAGAATGAACCTTCACACATCCGGATCTCGCTTGAAACATCTTGAGCCAAGATCCAAGTTCATGAGGATGCCAGAAAAACTGTGAGGAGAGATGGGAGGAACCATGTCGTCATGGACTCAGTAGTGAAAACAAGTCAGGAGACTACTTTGCTGTACGGACCGGAAGACGAAAAGGAACCATTGGTGACAGAATCCCAGAATATTCGAAGGCAAGCCAGGAGGCAAACAGAGAGAGAGAGAGGGAGGAAAAAGTAAGAGGAGAAAATGCCGAAAAAAAACTATGACTTTTGTGACAGAATCAAATTCAAGCCAAGAACAGAGAACCCAAACAGAAGCTCTTTGGGAAAGGATATTTTCTGCACACACCCAGTTTTTGTTATTCGAATTTACAACATGTGTTTGCAGCTTTTTTTATGGTCGGGCAGTTGGACTCAGCATGTGTGCGAGTATTTGTGTAATGTTTCGGTTTGCAGTGTGTGTGTGTGTGTTCTGGTGTTATTTGGGGATGGGGTTTTGGCGAGCTGCTGCTTGATGTCATACATGATGAAGCTCATGAAGCACCTCCAGCACAAGGAAAGCTACGATGTCATGATGTTTCAAAAGCAATATTGAAGTTATACTAGTTCTAAGATGTTATAAGGACATTACAAAAAGGGTCACTGCATTTGGAGAATCTTGATAGTAAGAGGACAAGCTTATGCCAATGTCTGAGTGTAGAATAGTTTAGAAGAGTCTGTAAAGCCAATGAGAACGCTCTCGCAGCAAGTCCAACTGGGAAATTGAGTATGAGGCCAGCAAGCAGCCATACCCAGCAAGAGTTGAACGAAGGTAGTCTGCGGGAAAGAAACTGAGGATGCACACAGACAATACACATCGTGTTGAGATATGTGCAATCGACACTGAATAGTATCAGGATAGGAAGTTTCTTTTCCTTCCGTCTTCATGAGAGGAGTGCGTTTACCGAAATTTCTGTGCAAACAACAGAAGTGGTTTACAAAAAGTCAAGTTGGAAGCCTTGAAAGCACAGCCGATCTTTACAGAACTTTATCTAAGTCAAGTGTCTTAGTTGTATCCTAGTTGTCTCTTAGTTGTGTCTAAGTCTAAGTGTCTTGTGACGTTCGCAGCCGGGCCAGGTGGTTCTTCCAAGGAAGAGCTGCCAGCACGGACTTGGCCTTTCGCTCAGCGCGGAAACATCAAAGTTTCGGAAACTCGATAAACTCGGGATGGTTATGGACGGTTCAAGGGAAACTTTGGGAGCTTTGGTGTTGCATAACCTGCCAAAAAAACTGTGAAACGCCTGGATTGTTTGCTTCTTTTTTCTTTGCGGTATTAAGCTCTGCAGCTGCTACAATACATATGTCACTGTCTGGAAAATGAAAGGAGCAAGCTGATGTTCATTAAAGACGGCCGGCATTTGTGGGTTTCGGCCTTCTCACATCATGGTTCAAAGCAATACAAGCCTTGTTTGCCTCAACCTGTTCCAAGAAAGGAAGAAAGGCCCTGGCACAAATGAATCCGCCGACGGTGAGGAACATCACTGGCCCTGCAAGAGTCACTTCGATGTCCCCACCTCAACGTCACCAAGTCTGACAACTTATACGTATAATACATATATATATACTATAGTATAGACTCTAGACTATAAATATATAATTATATATATATAGCCACTGAGCTTGCTGCTTTTGGTGGGAATTCGCTGCTGCACAACAGTCAACAAAGCCCTTAGAATACAAAACTGGAAAAAATGTGGTTCTGTGCGAGTCTTGAAACCTCTAGCAAACCGGAGCAAACACAAGCCTCGTCAATTGATCAACTGCTTGCAAAAGCTATCGGGCACGTACTCAAGGATTTCTGAGCCCACGGCTGACGAAAAAGCCAACCAGAAAGAATGGCCGCGCATTCCAACTCACCGTGAAAAGCCTCATGGGCCTCAGTACATGGATTCAAAATGATTCAAATGAGGTTGCGATGCCTCTGAAACCAAGCCAGCCAATCCTGATCAAACGAGCTGGCAAAATACATACTGTAACCAGGAACTCTCCAGCAAATTCCGGGTGCAGCAAGACTAGGGGGAAAGATGGAGTTTTTTTTAGTTTTGTGAGTTGTTGTTTTCTCGTTTTCTCGTCTCTGAGCAAAGCAGCCCAGAAGGGGCCATGGCCATCGCCCTCACAGAGACAATGACGCCGCGAAACACTGTAAGATACGGAGAGGTACAGTAAGAATCAGAATGACCATTGGCTCCAGCATGGTCAAGAGACATCAAAAGACCTTAACGATCCTTATAGCATTACCAAGTAATTCCTCCTCCACTGACCGCACATTCCAGGACGAAAGGCAAAGCAGCTTGAAGTGCTGCGGGAAATAATGTCGATTGACGTAATCCAAAGATCAAACCTTCATCATCCTTCATCTCAGAAACAAAATTCAGAGTACCAAAGCGATAGTGAGCCTCCTTCTGCTGTATCACGTTATCCATGAGCTTCTTCCGTCTCACCCAGTGCGACCTGCAGGTGAAAGCAGTGGATCCCACCCTTGAAGGCCTGAGGATCCCTTGAGGGATCTTAAGGATCTTGAGGGTCTGTTTCGAATGTAGCGAATGGCATGGAATAGCTACGAACACCTGACTCGTTCCTAAGGCTGTGGGACAGGGTGGACAACTTAGGCAAAGACATGTTGCTGAAGAGCTTGCAAACAAGCATGGCCAAAAGGGGGCCTAGGCATAAACTTTCTCGTGCTGCAGCGGAACAACATGCTTGAATCTCATATCTGATCTTGCCATGCCACATGATGTTTGAGAAACGCTGAGCAATCGTAACTAGGTAGATCTGGGCGCATGACTTACCACGTAGATGCTCATCGTGACGCCCGTAACTGTGTCAAGCGACTTCTTTGAGAGCGGGATTCCAAAAGATCCAAGAGGAGTAGCGGCGTGGCTTCGTCAAAGGTATTAAATTATGCGGGTATACAGATATACAGTACACTGTATGCTCGTTGCCTTCGTCTCCTTCAGAATACTCATCCATGCTGTTTTTTTTTGTTGGTGTTCAAACTTGTTGGTAGGGACGAGATAGGATCTTCAACGTGTGAGACCTGCCAGGTCTTCATGCGGATTTGGAAGAAGCTCAAAATTTCTCCCATCACATTGCTGGGCCCCGCCTTTGTCAAATTTGGTCGCCAAAATCTTCTGCAAACGAACACTCCTGAATCTAAGGCATCTAAGGGATGGGCTGACTGCTCAAGTGTCAGCAAATCTAGGGAACAGAACCTGTGCCTGACCAGAAATACCAACCTCAAAAGTCCAATCTCCTACATTGCTGCCATGTACGCAAATTCCCCGAAGTCAGCCAAAGGGCTAAAGAGATCTAAAGAGCACATACACGTATTGGCTATGTTGGAAGCAAACGGAGAGGTTAAAGCACAAACGAGTCAGATCAAGTCAATGTCAACACAACAAGAGAGTCTCATATCAGACTCACATACTCTCCCGAATCTCAAGGCGAGCATCAAGTCGATACCTGTAAATGCTGCAGTATGAGCAATGACACCTGAGCACACCAGGATAAACCATGTACGAGTCGGCACGAGTGTCAAGTGTCAAGCAAAATTGCTTCGGTGGAAGATGATTGATTTTCGATCGTGCAGTCGGATCGATACGACCATTGCACCATTGCATTCTCAGCCTTTCTGAAGTTGGTTAAACGAACAACGTTCGCACAATGGGACAGTGCACGTCCGATGTCCAGCTGGGACGTAGCGACTGCAAATGAAAGCAAATTAGCAGTACATCAGCGGCCTCCTGCGGCTACAACGCTATCACTGGAGTCTTGGACCTTTGCAGGTCTTTGCAGATCTTTGCAGTGTCTTCAAATCAATACAGTGTGGGACAGGCACCGATTCTGAGCAGCTGGAAGCTTTCAGTGGGCGCTAGTGGCGGGTTGCCCCAGTCTCCATGTAACACCTAAAACATCTTAAAACAGTCTCCAGATGCCATCTCAAAGTATCTGCTCAAATCTGCTCTTCCTTAAAGTTTCCATGATGCCCCAGTCTCCATCTTAAAGTATCTCAGTATCTCGTCCTTCCGGATCCAGATCCTGACTTTCTCTCAGCTGTCTTTGAGGCCAGGCGAACCAGGTGCTGTAGCTGATGCCAATGAACCAAGCCTGAAGAAACGTTGCAGGACGTTGCCGGTACTGATAGGTGATGTCTTCAAAGAGGAGCAAGTGTGCATTCCGAGTACATGCCTATGATGAGTTGACACTCGTTTGGTTACCCTGTTGTTTTGTTGGGCACTCTATCCTTTCATTTGCCAATAAAAACGACAGTATGGAGGTTGCACTTGAAAGCTTGTGTAGGTCCGCAACCGGAAAAAGCAGCAAAGTGAAGATCAAATATGCCTCAAAGGGGCTGCAACCAAATCTATCTTGACATATTGATCGTAAGCATATTACGTGTCTCGTATGCTATCTTCAGCTGCATTTCAACAATCTTTCAGGTCGGATACAGATCAGCATCAGAGTTTTGAAAGCATTAAAATCAGAAAAACAATAATCAATCAATTCAGACATGTGTCAGTTTCAGTCCTCAAACACTTGTCAGTCTCTTTTTCCCCACCTGCCAGGTGAGGGTTGTTAGATTTTATCTAAGTTGCCTTCTCCTCCTCCTCCTCTCCTCCTCCTCTCGTCGTCCTCCTCCTCTCGTTGTCCTCCTCCTCTCGTTGTCCTCGTCGTCCTCGTCGTCCTCGTCGTCCTCGTCCAACTGCGACCCGCGATCTACAGTGTTCCCTGCCGGACCTCAACCACGACCATCCACGCCCAGTGTTCCCTGCCAGACCTCAACCACGACCAGCCACGCCCAGTGTTCCCTGCCGGACCTCAACCACGACCATCCACGCCAAGTGTTCCCTGCCGGACCTCAACCGCGAGTATCCACGCCAAGTGTTCCCTGCCGGACCTCATGAGATATGCCAGATAGAATGCCAGAAGATATGCCAGATGGAATGTCAGATAGAATGCCAGATAAAATGCCATGAGATATGCCAGATAGAATGCCAGAAGGTATGCCAGATAAAATGTCAGATAGAATGACACAAGATATGCCAGATAGAATCCCAGAAGATTTGCCAGATAATATGCCAGAAGATATGCCAGATAGAATACCAGAAGATATGCCAGAAGATATGCCAGATAGAATGCCAGAAGATATGCCAGAACATATGCCAGAAGATATGCCAGATAGAATCCCAGAAGATTTGCCAGATAATATGCCAGAAGATATGCCAGAAGATATGCCAGATAGAATGCCAGAAGATATGCCAGAAGATATGCTAGAAGATATACCAGAAGATATGCCAGATAGAATGCCAGAAGATATGTCAGATAGAATGCCAGAAGATATGCCAGATAGAATGCCAGAAGATATGTCAGATAGAATGCCAGAAGATATGTCAGATAGAATGCCAGAAGATTTGCCAGTAAGAAAATGTAAAAATGTCACGGTGGGGATCACACGAAGTAAAGTAATTTGATCTTTTTTGCACGTAAGAGATCTGAGGCAAGAACTAGATCATAGTGCGGTTCAGACCTTCAAAACTTTAAATGTCACTCGCACAATTTGTGCGTCATTAAATGCATTGGCTGGTGAACCGTGAACGCCGTCATGCATCTTCCTGAGGAACTTCCTTTTGCTAGCTGAACAGCATTGAACAGCCTGTTGCTGCTTGTGGTTTCCACTATCGGACCAATTATGAAGAAAACATCCTTCGGCTGTCGCACTGCTTCCTACCTAAGCCTGAAGCATTTGTCAGGTAACTGGGGCACTGGCATCCCACCCAGTCTCAGCAAGCCCTGCTGCAGCGAAGCTTTCGGAAGGTGCAGAGTGTTCAGTAACGCGGCAATGTCCCTAACATTCCCTAACCATGTACACAAATGTACAAAGAATCTAAGAATCTAAATACCCTGGATGCCAGCAAGTTCACACCCTGAATTGGCACAGGGCTTCTATCTTATGGAATCTGATTTGTTTGAAGGGTTATATGGAGGGTTGAATCACGAACCTTAATCAAGAAACGAGGATTCAATTCAAACAGCAGACTTCTCCAGTGCCTCAAGCAGAATTTCGACAACGGCCATCTCCACAAGAAGTGCACAAAAGATGGAGACGGTGTAACCTTGAACTGCATCTGACAAGTGCACAGCAGCCTTGGAAAGGTCTGCGACAAAATGCCAAACTGTCTAGGTTCCGAACTTACCATCTTGAAGAAGTTTTCTCGCATCTTAGTGGAACTTAAACCAATTTTCTCGGTGCAAATGTGGGAAATATTGCTAGTTCACTACTAATAGGAAGCAAACGCAAGTGGTTCTGAAGGAGTATGCTGGGGTCTGGCTACACTCTACACTTGTTGTGTGCATTAAGTTTTGTCCTCATCGCGCGTTTCCTGGTGCTTCACCCTGTGTGGATGTCCGGTTGCAGAATGCGTAATATGGAAGCAACTCACATTGGTTTTGCAAACCTCAGCAACGTCTAGGCCCACGACAAGAGAGTAAGTTGTGTTGGACCTTGTATCAGAGGAAGTCAAAAGCCCTAGAGCACTCCTTGTCACCTTGTCAGGTCATGAAATGCATGAATGTCCTTCGGTTTTTCGCAGGCTGAGCGGCTGAGCTAAGACCCAAGCAGGTAGAGAAAGATGAAGTCAAAGACCTGGGCCGTGCTGAGTCATGACTTGGAGCTGTTTGCAGTCAGCGTAGAACCTTGTCCATTTCTGCGCTGTGGCCCCAAGCCAAGAACCAAAGCAACAGTACCTCAAAGTTTCCAAAAAAAGAAACATGGGCAGGAAAGAAGGAATCCCTCACGTCCTGACTTTATCAATATGGCATAATTATCATAATTACGATGTTCCCCGTTGATCGAATAGATCTCCTCCCACACAGTCGCTGTATGACAGCTGCAAAAACAAGCACAATGTGTCCGCTTGGGATTTCCCGTGCAAAGAAACAGTGCTTCTTCTTGAAATTAAACGGGATTGCTTGGATCGCGTATGGGGTCCACACTGGCATGGCATCAGGAGAGGCTTTGCTGGCAGCATTTGAAGCATTTGCCCTTGGTGGAGAGAATGGGATGTGATGTGTCCAAAACAACTGTGCGCTTGTTGCCTGCGTCATCGCTGTCATCCGCTGTCAAGCATCATAGCAGCATCATTCCAAGGCATGGTTCAGAGATGTTCCCCTCCCTCGGCAACCATTGCATCTTTGGCACCCGCTGTGCTCGGCGTGCTCCAATCCTTCAAGTCTCGTGAAGAATGCAAGTCACTGGTGGACGTGGACATAGAAGGATGACAATGCTTACATAAACTCGAATAAATATTATATAAGTCATATTAAGTCATCAGGAAAGCGTGATGAATAGGTATGATCGGTATAATGTATAAATAGGCCTGAAGGTTGCCGGCACTTAGAGAGGGAGCTACCTTTCTGCACAAACCATGCTGAAAAATATATATATATATTCTATATTATATATATATTATTGTGTATATATATAATATATTATATTATATATATATATATTATATTATATTATATTATATTATATTATTTTATATTATATTATATTATATTATATTATATTATTTTATATTATATTATATTATATTATTTTATATTATATTATATTATATTATATTATATATATATGTCTTTGTTCCAGTCAGAGATCTTGAGGTCGCTTGAGGCGTCCACCCTTCAATTTTTCTCTATACGCTTCCACCTGGAGCACCTGAGAGATCCGCTCCGATGAAACTGGTGGAGAAAACTAAATGATGTCAACAATGTCAACTACACTTTGCCGATGGAAACTGCTTCGCATAGGATTAAACTCACACCGTACAGACTTGGGTTGTCACCAGCCATGCGAATGCACACAAAGTTCCTGCTATCTCACACGCGGAGCAGATGGCATCTATATAGCATAAAGTCTTCGCTGAAAACCTGACGATTTACCAGGATTACCATGTCATATATAAATCCGCCCACACCGCTTTGGCGGTGAAGGCGTGCTTATTGCGGGGCAACAGCAACACTAAATGCTCAATGACATTTGTCAATACAGCAGTCGCTATATCAGCTTTAGCTGGGGGGGGGGCAAAAACGGTTTCGCACCGAGACCAGAATACGGTGGTGTTTTCGACATTTTTCGAGGATTTTTGGGTGTCTGAGCGCAAGAGGGTATTGAAATGGAATTTTGGGTCATTTTGGTAGCTTTCCGGCAATGGAAAAACGGCCAAAAATGAAAAAAACATTGTGCATAGCAAGATTTTGCAGGGTTTTTGGATGCCAGAGCATTGAAAACACTGCAAAAACAAGTGTTTTGGACTGACGTTATAGCAAAAAACGTGTAAATTACCGTATGCTTGACTGGAAACATTACAAAAACACTGTCAAAAGCAATGTTTTGGAAGGATTTACTGCCTTTATGGCAAAAAACGTGTAAATTACCGTCTGTTTGACTGGAAACATTGGAAAAACACTGTCAAAAACAATGTTTTGGAAGGATTTCTTATATATATGTTGGAGTTGGCTACCGGCATTGGAACATGGAAAAATTGAAGAAAACACTGTAAATAGCGGTATTTTCAACGGTTGGGGAGATAAGGGAATTGGAAGCATTGTCGAACATGATGTTTTCGACCGGTTTTATGGCGACAAAAGTGTAAAGTACCGTGCTTTGAAGGAAACCATCGCAAAAACATGGAAACACATTCAAAGAACACGGGATTTGGGGGACTATCTAGGCGTCGTTGTCTAGCTATTTGAAATTCCGCAGCTTGGAGAGCCTCCAAGGGAGGGAAAAGTGAAAATTCCATAGCTTTGGAAGCTGTCACAGCGGGGAAAAGTGAAAATTCCCTAGCTTGGGAAGCCCCCACGGGGGGGAAAAGTGAAAATTCCCTAGCTTGGGAAGCCCCCACGGGGGGGAAAAGTGAAAATTCCCTAGCTTGGGGAGCCCCCACGGCGGGGAAAAGTGAAAATTCCCTAGCTTGGGGAGCCCCCACGGGGGGGGAAAGTGAAAATTCTTAGCTTGGGGAGCCCCCACGGGGGAAAACCACCCTTAGCCCCTCTCACGGACCGAAATAAACCTGCGGTGTGGGCGGCCACCCCACGCGAAGCGGGGTGAATACGTTTGCAAAGCTTCCGTGAATCCGCAGGTTGCTGACACATCTATGACATGTTCATGGCAAAAGACTCAGTCGGTAGCTAGTCCAGAGAAGTGCTACAGTGAAAGGCGTTCCAGCCTGGTATGCTGACCTCGAGCAGGGCCGAGTTCACGGAAAATCTCCCGCTCTGCACAATTGATGCACACCATCATGTGTCTCATGCCCATGAGAGTGGATGGTTGCATACTCACAATATCTTGCAATGATCAACGCAGTGCGCGGCAAATCAAAGGTACTCGCGACATCTCACGACTGAGGTTTCGGCAGTCCAATACATCTTCCCATCTTCATGGCTGTGGATTTGGCAGGCTTTGCGATCAGCTGAGAAATGGCCATGGAACACAAGTCCCAACCAGTAATGAAGCTCTTTTACATTCTTTTACAGACTAGATCATACAGTGTTGCCATCCCTCTCCCAGCCTGAGCGCTGTATTTTTCGCCTTCAAACGTGTGCCTTGCCGTTCCAAGAGACCTTCAATCTATCTTGGAGGCAGACCACACAGCGAAATGTTCGGGCGTGTCTAAGCAAAACGTGAGATTGCAAGCAAGATGGACCACTTGTGAACAGAAGGCATTCGGAACAGTTGTATAGAATCTTCAAACTGATCAACCAGGTTCAGTGGAAGACACATCGGTGGTCCTTGCCCAAGCTTGGGTGCGATTTCTTTAGGACTACACATGTTCAGCGCTGTAAGTACTTGACAACTGTGAGGATTCCGAAAAGCAGCTTGCAGCAAGATTTGGTAAAAGCCAACACAATTTGACAGCTTGTCCTGAAGCAGCTTGTGCTGAGACAAAATCTTCCTGCCGGCCTTCTGTATGAAAAGAACCAGCAGCTCAGTGGCTGGTCTGTGACTGGTGCAGTCGGACTGTAGCTCACGTTCGCTTCGCAAGCGCGCTACAGGTTCGTTCGCCTCAACGATGGCGACCTTCTCAAGAATCTTTGGTTACAGCACCAGCCAAGGCTGCTGTGCCGAGCATGCCTGACAGATCTGACAGTCTGACAAAGGCATACTACCCACGTCCAAAGGTCCTTTCAGCCATACTTGGAGGCTCTGGACGGGTCTAGCATGGTCTATTGTCCATCTCATTATCTGGCACAAACTGTTCTAATTCTAGTTCTGTTCTTTCTTTTCTGAGTCGTTTTTTGTTCTATCATTATATCATCTAATCTATCCTATCTAATTTAGCATCCTCCACTATTTCGGTCTATTCATTCTATTCGCTTTCCATTCCGTTCCGTTCCATCCCAGCCCAATCCATGCAATTCATTCATCTTTCTGTCTATATATATTTCTGATCTGATCTGGTTTACTCTGTTCTACTCCGCTCTCATTCAATCATGATATCGTGTCAGTTCCTATCCTCTTATACATCTGCCGTTTCTATTTTAATTCAATTTTAATCGTATCTCGCCTAATCAGATCGAACATAAAGTAATCTGATCAAACCCGAAGCAATCTGATCTGTTATAATCCAAGCAAAATCAATCTCATCCAGTCTCATCCAATCTGACGAAATCCAACCCGGTTCACTCTAGCCTACATGTGTTTGTATGTGTGCGTGAATGCATGTTTTCGGTGAGCATCTGTGTACGTGCAGATGCAATGGATGCAATGCAACACAAAGCAAGGCAACGCAAAGCGGTCGAAAGCAAAGCAATGCAGTGACACCACACAAAGTGATCCATGTTCTGCAATGCAACGAAACCGAATGCCCCAGAATGCATTTCTGCTCAAAGTCCTGTACTTTTCTTTGCTGCGATGTAAAGTTGAGGAAGAATGTGTGTTGTTCTTGTTTTCTGTATAGTAGGCAAAGTTGTGTTCTGATACAAAAACATTCAAACGCAATGAAAGGAAAGCGCGTGCTGAAACACAAAATGTGTCGCTTCATGTGCCTCCAGGAATGTCTGTGGCACCCTGCAGTCCAAAGAAGAACGAGTTCGCCTGGCAAAATCTGGTCACCACTACTGATGATGAGACAACACTAGAGGACACTGAAGCAGAATTGATCAAATATTGCGGATGCAAATAATGCAAATATGCTTGGCTTATCTTGGCTTTAGGATCTTCAAAGTAGGGCCCATGCTTTCCATACATTTCCATACAACTTCTTCCTCAATGGTCCTCCGCACCTTGCCATCCTTGAGGCAGGCGCCAGCTGTTTTGAGTTTTGCCAGCGAGACTGCCACCTCCAAGATGCAGCAGAACGGTATCCGAAAGGTCCGAAAGGCATTGGAAACGGGGCACTAGGGACTGGCAGGGACTGGTTTTGCCTCGATTTTGATTGAAAGAGAATCGGCCAAAGGTGCGATTGTATGAATGAATCCTTCTGCGTTCGCTCTTAACGAATAAGCAAAGTGTAGTCAAGCCAAAATCATCAAAATCATCAAGCACACGTCCATACATCGTCCATACACTTTAGCCAATTATGACCAAACAATGGGAAGACGGGAAGACAAGCCTCGGAATCCTCGAGCCTTTTCGCAGCCTGAGAGGTTGGACTGTGGGACCTTGAAAAATGTACTGTGTTCTTAGCAATGTTTTATATGTTTAACACCGCAAGAGCTTCAATTTCCTCGGAGCTTCAAGTTATCTGTTGTGCTTTTTTACAGTTTTTTTCATTTTTTCCTTTTAGCATCTGACACCTATCACGAAAAATCCTAGGAACAAATTGACACAAGTCCAGATGTCAGGCAATCCATGCCTTCAGAGAGCCTTCTGCACGGAGCTCCTCTGCGCGGGCGTCTCCCTTGCGCAAGAATTCGACTCCATTTTGAAGCAGCAAAACTCCACAAAATTCAAAGAATGCAACAAGTGGAACATAGTGAAACACAGTGAAACTGGAAAGAGGACAGAGCCTAATTCCTTGAGTCCCTTCAAATCCCTTCAGTCATCTTCAGTTCATGTAGCTACAGCAGCACTTGCTTCTTTCTGAACCAAAGGCATCTGGCAGCCAGCCAGCACCCTTGAATGCAATGAATTCCAAATCTGTTTCCATGCCTCTGCGCGGATTCTGGCTGCTTCCGCCTCCGCCTTTGCCTCAAAGCTTTCACAAGAAAACTTGCCCTCCTACCTGGTTTAACTCATATCTCAAAGAGAAGAGGCTGTGTCGTCCAAGACAGGATTCTCTTAGCAGCATCTGTTGCGATTAAACCCCTTCTACAGCCAGTCTCTCACCTGCCTTCAGTAGCAGTGCTTGTGCATCGCCTGAAATGCTATACTGAGATCTGCCAATGTTGAGCTGATTTCTCTCTGCAAATTCCCTCGGCACCATTTTGGGATTGTTCGAAAGATGACCGAGAAGGGTTTGCGATCAATTGGCCATTGTCTCAAACCAGGCCCACAATTTCCCGAGTTTCTGATTGGTTTCTGAATGTTTCTGATCATGATTTCACTAAGGTAGTCCCACTTTGCGGCACCTCTTGCTGCTGTCTCTGTTTGCTCCGCTGCCACGGATGCCACAGCCTGGCTGCCCAAACATCCGTCAGATTTTCACCTCAGACACGTCTTGATCTCACAATCTTCACGAGTCTGACCGTTCATGACCTTTCTCTTTATCCAAAATTATTCTTCATCCTTCCACATTCCAATGTCTTGCCGTTCGCAACGAAAAATGCTCAAGCAGGCCGGCAACACCCCTTGACTAAGAGCATCTAAAAGGCCACGGTCCGAAGGAGAAGCAGAAATGAGATTGATGGACCTGAAACCAATAGCTTTGTAGGTAGAATCTTTGAGGCAGGATTGAAAGTGGAGCCGGTTGCTTCTGGCACTCCTGCCCTTTAGAAGAACCGCAGTGGTGTGCTGAGTCACAAACAAGATCTTGACCCCATACTGATGACCTGAAAACACCGCAAGGATCCCGCTGCGAAGTCAGAATTTCCGTCAGCATGCCAATGCTCAATTCATGGTTCCAGGCCATCTCGGGCAGCAGAAGTGTGTGTGTGTGTGCAGAAGTCTGCTTAAGTCGTTTAAGTTGCGAACAAATCGTGTTCGCATGCTCCGCTGACTTCACCAATCGATCAGGATCAAAGAGCGCCCTGCTCAGCACAAACGAGATGTTCGGATGGGTGGGAAATGGAACCCACTGTAGGCTTGAATATATTCAGCACAAACATGTCTACATAGCTTTCCACGAGTTGATCTGATGTGCCCAAAGTCGGAGCGTCAAAGTTATACAAATGTAGAGCTCGCAAGTCTTGCCTTCGACCCTCGTTGTCCACTTCAACACCAGCCTGACAGCATCAAGACGGCTCGTAGCTGCTTGCAGTTGCACTTTTTTACATTCTTATACAGTGGTGTTGAGAAGATCTGACCGATACAGGGAGATCCAAACCTCTCGTTTCTTGTCGGTCTCACTGCGGGCCATCATGGCCTGGCATCTCCCCATGGAACGGTATGCACTGAAGCCACCTGGTGTTGAATTCTGAGACTTATCATTTGTGCTGTGCATAATTGCACATAGAATATCGATATCTAGGACAAATAGCAAGACAACGGTGCATGAGTACTTTGATACTATATATATGTATTACACTGATTTACACTGTATTAATTCATTGTGTATAATTGTGTAATGATGTGTAATGTAGTCATTGATAGTCATTGTGTTGGAACTGGAAGGTATCCCACATGGCGCTACGCCTCGTGGCCGTGAGCAGAGTAACTGACTGAGCCGATGAAGGATGCCAACGAAGCGGTTACCTTCAAGCTCGACATAGCTCGACAGGATCCGACATTCGAGGCTGGACTGAACACAGGCATGGTCTCGGTTCAATATGCGGTAATGTCATTCAATGTCTTTGAAGTACAAAACATCAGGCTTTCTCCTGTTTTCTTGTCACTGCATTACTTCATTTGAAGGAAGAAAGCGCGCATGCAAGCACTTAACTTGATGGAAGTTGAGGAATGACATCTTTGAACCCCAACTATCAAGACCATTCAAGATCATCTTGCTATCAAGCCCAAAAAGCATTGGGACAACTTCATCGCCTGCCGCAGCACATCCTGACGAAGCTTGCTGATGTCGAACCTCAGCTGCTACTCATCACCCGACAACCAAGGCACAACCAAGGCACAACCAAGGCATAACCCAACGGATCCCAGCTACATAGAGCTACAATACACACCAATGGCTTGGATGCAGACGTGACACCAAGTGACACCAAGTGACACCACGATCGAGAGATATCGAGAGAATCCAATCAGAGGCGACTTGATACGACCGGCAGCGGAGTAACCACTGCACAGATAGCAACAAGACCCGCAACTTTTGCCAAGTTGCTCTCCAGCGTTGGTCACGGCGCTGCGCTGGTTATCAGCCTGGTGGCACACGACTTCTTTTGCTTTCTCTGCATGTGTCAGAATAGAGTGGCGTCAGCCTCAGTTCCTGCATGTTCCTGCAAATATTGACTGGAAAAACCTGTACGTAGCATTTCATCTTGCATCGGCAAAGATGATAACCTCGGTCCCTTCGTGAAAGTCTGTGTCTGTGGGCTCACCATGGTGTTCGCTGCCATCCGTGCCGCCAGCTTGGCATCCTCCGGAGAGTTGCCAAGTCCAAAGAAAACAAATAGCATCAAATAGCTATTCAATTTCTCAATACGTATAAGAGCAGTTTGGATCTGAATGGATGTGGCATATTATGTAGCGCAGCATTTCACGTCCACAAATCACGCATAGAAGCAAAAGCCAGGCAACTTTATCCTGCCTCTATGAGCCAGTTCACTGTTGCTGTAGCCTCCAAGGGCACGTTATCGCCTGTGGTCACCTAACATTTGAAAATGAACAAACACCACTTTGGGCCATAAGTAACAAAAGGGTAACAATCAAATGGCACCACAAATCTACTGACTAGGTGCATCCAGTTTACTGAAGCATCGAGGCTTCCTATTCAGACGTTGGAGTATACTGTGACAAAATTGTTCCCGTCGCATCGTCACTGAGCTTGCCGCCTTCATCGGGCCCACGTCGTTTGTCTGAAGTTTCTTCGTCATGAACTTCTCAAACTGCACAGCAACACCGCAAAAGCAGTCCAGTCGCCAAGGCCAGTGTTGACTGGTAACCTACATCATCCACATAGTAGCTAGTAGAGTGCACTGCAACTGCTGATTCCAAAGAGCATCGGAGACTGTTAGAATTGGAGCCTTCCAGTTCCTGTGGGTCAGCATATATGCCCGGCCTGGCTGCTGCCATCGTCCACGATGTGAAGCGTCTAAACATATCTTGTCTATGTCTATGTGGTTTTTCAAGCCAGGTCTGTGATGTCTTGCTTTGATATTCCTTCATGAGATCTCCCGATTCAAAATTCATGTCATTTCATGTCCTTTTTTGAAAGCCTCAACTGAGGAATTTTCCGGAGGAAGACCGAACCTCCTTCAAGGATTTTCTGTTCTCCGTTGTCCTGTGTCACTGCAGCATAGCCCTGGCCATGGTCAAGTCATATGGACTGCTCTGGACTCAACTATTCGCAGTGGTCACCGCAGTTCATGCCACCAAACATCCGACCATTGGACTTTAAAGTTGGCAAAATGCCCTTTCCCACTTCCCACACACCGAACTCACTTTACCAGAGAACCTCGTCGACAGTGATGAGGGTGTATGGCCTGTCCCATAAGGTTCCAGATCCCCACACCAAAAGGGTGGGTCAGACATAATGTCGAGCTTGCATTGTAGTTCAACAGTGATTCAGTGACTGAAGGCATGGCACCCCAGGCAAATGATGCTGGATGCAAGGTCAATGAGGCGCTGGAACCTTAGCAGTTGTGGCAAAGGCTGTCCATTGGTTTGGAACACTCAAAATTGACAGCTGGCTAAGTATGCTAGGTTAGCCTATTCATTCCTGATAGAAATTGGGGCGTTTGAATTATAGGATAGAATTCGACTGTTCATTGGCAGGAAAGGGTATACTTGAACTTGTCCAGGAGCATGACGTGCTATGACGTGCTGTTGCCGACGAATGGCACCACTTAGACTGCAAGTGTTGGTCAAAATGATACTTTTAACATCTTTTAAATAGAAGCATATTGTTGCTGTATTATGTGTATATACTATATTAATATAAATTATATATAATTTATATAATGTATATTGCGGTAACACATATTCAATCTTCATGGCACCCTCTCCCAGGCCACCGCACTCAATGGTGGGACTATCCCATTGATGGAGGCCAGGTGGAAGAAGTACTGGCTGCCCGCGATCCATGGCCTGACTTTGCGCTGTAGTCAAAATCAGGACTCGGAAGCTCTGATTAAAAGTGGGCTTATAGCCAAAGCTTTCAGCAAAGTGGCAAATTGGGCATGAACATGAGTGAGCTATGCTAAACTATGTATGCTGAAGGTCTGTTGATGGGAAATTCTCACGCTAGGAAACAATCATAAACAATCAATATTTGTATCATGTGGCGACAGGTCCTGAATGTTTTTGAGAGTGTATTATTGTTTTCAGGTTTTGAATCTTGCAACATGTTACGGTTTCTTGGAGAGTGTAATGTCGTTTTCCAAGTCTCACTTCAATGTTTCAAGATTCACATGTTTTTTCTGAGATTCCTGGCTAGGCCCACGAAGCCTTGCGTCACTGTAATGATCGCCTGACAGCACATTTGTCACTGCAATCATCATCAAACGAGTCCAGAGTTCGGTGTTTCTGTGCTGCAGTGGTGCATGGAGTCTATGGAGTCTATGGAGTCTATGGAGTGCCCTTGACTCGACACGTCCACAGTAAGGCATGGGGCCAGAGTTAAACGAGTTATGCTCTGTATGATTTGTATGGCATTAGAACAGCATAGAACAGCCATGTTTTCCGTTGGCGCTCTGGCCTTGGTGCCATGAATGATGGCACCCTCCGTGAGCCTCACGTCGTGGTGGTCGACCTCAGCTGCCCAGTGACCTTCAATACTGGTACCGGAGAAAGCGAATACGTAAGCTTTCATATCTTTCATGCTCACTTTGGGAAATCAACAGAGAAATTCACCAAACAGAACTGTTTGAACACAAGACACAAAAACTATCAAAAAGTATCAAACAGTTAAAAGAAAGGACTGCTCGAGGGCTTCGTGGAATGAAGCAATTCGAAATGATTAGAAGGCGAGGGAAAAGACATCCGCCATGATTTGCAGGATTCAAGATCTGTAGTCCGTTCCATGACTCCAAAGCCAGGGTCTGCCCATGCACAATCTCTGTGTTTCCAGGCACTGATGTAGGGTGAAGGATACACCTCATGTGCGCGTTGCCCTCCCCTCTCAACCGCCTGGAACCCTATATTCAATCACAATAATCACATTACAGGAGCGCGAAGCAACATTTACCTCAGCACGTTCTCCATGAGACAATCTTTGTACAGCCGAATCATGCCAAGACCAAAATTGCATAAAATTGCAGCATGTTTAGCGAGCAACGTCAAACAGGTTCTTCATAATTTGCATTCAAAGGCCATGTGATAGTCCAAAACACCTGAAGCAATCCTCCTTGAGTTCGCTCATCCTTACCAAAGAATGCAAACTTGTTCATGTTTTCGGGTCGCCGGACATGCACGCCAGGCCCAAAGAACATGTAGCGGCCGTTCTGATGTCTGCCCCTAGCGGTCTCGCACTACATGCAGTCTCTACATGAAACGAGTGGATCTAGGTATAGTCTGACCTTGGTTTGTTGGTTTCTGCATTGGAGCTGAAGCACAGGACTTGGCAAGCAAGGCGTTCAACTAGAGCATATTCAGAGCTGCATTCTTTACAAACCGATCACCAACCAACAAACTGCAAAGCAGCCTCAGGCCCTGTTCAGGCGAACGTATCGCCTGCGGATGCAGCCGGCGTTCACCACGAAGAACTTCACCAAACAGCAGCAGCCATGACAGCTAAGTGCCCTGGCAGGGCGGGGCGGTGTGAGAACTACTGTCGTCATGTCCAGCATGTCACGAGTCGATCTCTCAATGTTTTTTTTGGAGACTGTGGATTAAGCGCGCGTAAAATTGGGTCATTAATAGCGCAAAAGTTGGGGTCACTAAGCGCGCATAAACTAGGTCATTCCAAGCGCAGAAGAGTTGTATATATATTAATATATATATATATTATATTAAATATAAAATATATATATATTTCAAAATTAATCGCAGGTTACGGGAGGTTACGGGAAGTTACGGGAGGTTACGGGGTCTTCACATTTTAGAGATTCTATATATAGATTCTAGACTCAGAATCGCGCTTGGTTACGGGAGTCTACGGGAGGTGACAGGAAGTTACGGAAGGTTACGGAAGGTTATGGGAGGTTGCGGGAGGTTACGGGAGGTTACGGGTTCGGCAGATTTATAGAGATTCTAGAGATTCTTCACTCAGATTCTAGCTAGGTTACGGAAGGTTACGGAAGGTTACGGGAGGTTACGGGAGGTTACGGGAGGTTACGGGAGGACGGGATACCTAGATTCTAGAAATTCTAGAGATTTTGGGGAGATTCCTAGGTAGGTTACGGTTACGGGAGGTTACGGGAGGTAAAGGTTACGGAAGGTTACGGGAGGTTCCTGGATACTTAGCTTCTACAGATTCCAGAGATTCTAGAGATTCCTAGGTAGGTTACGGTTACGGGAGATTACGGTTACGGGAGGTTACGGTTACGGGAGGTTACGGGAGGTTAAGGGAGGTTACGGTTACGGGAGGTTACGGGAGGTTACGGGAGGTCACGGGAGGTTACGGGAGGTTACGGTTACGGGAGGTTACGGGAACTTACGGGAGGTTCCTGGATACTTAGATTCTACAGATTCCAGAGATTCAGGAGATTGCTAGGTAGGTTACGGTTACGGGAGGTTGCGGGAGGTTACGGGAGGTTACGGGAGGTTACGGTTACGGGAGGTTACGGGTGGTTACGGGAGATTACGGTTACGGGAGGTTACGGGAGGTTACGGGAGGTTACGGTTGGAAGGTTCCTGGATACGTATAGATTCTATCAGATTCCAGAGATTCTAGAGATTCCTAGGCAGGTTACGGTTACGGGAGGTTACGGGAGGTTACGGGAGGTTACGGGAGGTTACGGTTACGGGAGGTTACGGGAGGTTACGGTTACGGGAGGTTACGGGAGGTTCCCGGATACTTAGATTCTACAGATTCCAGAGATTCTAGAGATTCCTAGGTAGGTTACGGTTACGGGAGGTTACGGTAGATAGGTTACAGTAACGGGAGGTTACGGGAGGTTACGGGAAGTTACGGGAGGTTACGGGAGGTTACGGGAGGTTACGGGAGGTTACGGGAGGTTACGGGAGGTTACGGGAGGTTACGGGAGGTTACGGTTACGGGAGGTTACGGGAGGTTACGGGAGGTTACAGGAGGTTACGGGAGGTTACGGGAGGTTACGGGAGGTTACGGGAGGTTACGGTTACGGGAGGTTACGGGAGGTTCCTGGATACTTAGATTCTACAGATTCTAGAGATTCCTACTAGGTATCCAGGAGCCTCCCGTAACCTCCCGTAACCTAGGAATCTCTAGAATCTCTGGAATCTGTAGAATCTAAGTATCCAGGAGCCTCCCGTAACCTCCCGTAACCGTAACCTCCCGTAACCTAGGAATCTCTAGAATCTCTGGAATCTGTAGAATCTAAGTATCCAGGAGCCTCCCGTGACCTTCCGTAACCGTAACCTCCCGTAACCTAGGAATCTCTAGAATCTCTGGAATCTGTAGAATCTAAGTATCCAGGAGCCTCCCGTGACCTCCCGTAACCGTAACCTCCCGTAACCTAGGAATCTCTAGAATCTCTGGAATCTGTAAAATCTAAGTATCCAGGAGCCTCCCGTGACCTCCCGTAACCGTAACCTCCCGTAACCTAGGAATCTCTAGAATCTCTGGAATCTTTAGAATCTAAGTATCCAGGAGCCTCCCGTAACCTCCCGTAACCGTAACCTCCCGTAACCTAGGAATCTCTAGAATCTCTGGAATCTGTAGAATCTAAGTATCCAGGAGCCTCCCGTAACCTCCCGTAACCTACGAATCTCTAGAATCTCTAGAATCTCTGGAATCTGTAGAATCTAAGTATCCAGGAGCCTCCCGTACCCTCCCGTAACCGTACCCTCCCGTAACCTAGGAATCTCTAGAATCTCTGGAATCTGTAGAATCTAAGTATCCAGGAGCCTCCCGTGACCTCCCGTAACCGTAACCTCCCGTAACCTAGGAATCTCTAGAATCTCTGGAATCTGTAGAATCTAAGTATCCAGGAGCCTCCCGCCTCCCGTAACCGTAACCTCCCGTAACCTAGGAATCTCTAGAATCTCTGGAATCTGTAGAATCTAAGTATCCAGGAGCCTCCCGTAACCTCCCGTAACCTAGGAATCTCTAGAATCTCTGGAATCTGTAGAATCTAAGTATCCAGGAGCCTCCCGTAACCTCTCGTAACCGTAACCTCCCGTAACCGTAACCTCCCGTAACCGTAACCTCCCGTAACCTCCCGTAACCGTAACCTCCCGTAACCGTAACCTCCCGTAACCGTAACCTCCCGTAACCGTAACCTCCCGTAACCTCGAAGATATAGTTTAATCTAGCAAGTGTTTATACGCACTCTGTAATCACCATTAAACGTAATTAGTTTACTTATACGCAATTAGTGACGCATTAGACGATATTAATGCCATTTAAACGCAATTAATACATATACTTGTTTTTTTTGCTTTGTGTTTTGGAGTGATGCTTCTCCAAAGACTGCGAGACTGTCAGCCCATACATCTTCGGTGAAAATACGAAATGGTCCATTCGCATATCGGGAGGGTTTTTTCCAACAACTTGGATTTGTATCCATCAGCACCTCAGGAAAAACGGCTAAAAAAATGCAAAAAATACATCCTGGAATCCAATTGCGGTGCCTCTTGCATAGGGAAAGGAAAGAACTTGCTATCTACAATTTTGTGCGCTTTTCTCTACAATTGCTGTCAGTGAGCACCAAAAAGCCAGCAGCACTGCAGCATCAAGCTCCTTGGTTTTGAGCACAAAAGAAGTGTGGCGGGATTCAAGTTTGCCACAACATCCACAACGTATGCAAAGCCTCTATGCCAAAAAACATGTTTGGGTCCAGGTGGCTGGTTCAAGTCCCAGTTTCCCTTGATCATGTCCAGATCCTGCAGCCGGAATCTGAATCATGAAGAGTGCATTTTAAATTTTATATATATATAATGTGAGGAATGTGAATAGACATTCCTGAATAGACATTCCAATCGACCCAACCTAACCTGAAACCAATCCGCAGATCTTTGAAATGCTGGGCCAGTCCTCCACTCTGCGAATTCGGTACCTTTCAATTTGGTATCTAAACTTCTGCCATGTCTTTATAGACTGTTGAAGCTCAAGAATCTGGCCTAACAGCATCTTCCCTACTTTCTCATGTGGGCACTGGTTGCAGATCAAGTTGTTTTCGTAAAGCGCCCGATAGGCCTGGAGACGATTAACACCCGGCATGGGAAACGACTGGTTGCCACTTCGCCCATGTATTGCCACATAGCACATAGCACTGCAAATTCCGCAAGTTTTCACCCACAGAATCGACCAATGTCACAGACCCTCAACTTGCTTCTTCGATCAAACACGTCAGCTCCACCGGAGTCTGCTCCTGCGCAGACCTTAGAATGCTGTTGCACCTGCTGCCAGTGTTGCCAGTGTTGTCAGTTCCCCAGTTTTCTCAACTCGCATTTTTTTGCTGGGACACGTAGCAAGAACATGTAAAATGTCCCGCGATTCCACTTTGGACTCAAAAATGAGTTGCCAACATCAGGGCATCGTCATTGATGGCCTGGGACATCAAGAATGCATGATCTCATGAGCCCATCTATATTCCTCACGCAAGGTTCTGCGGACAAGGAATGATCTTCTACACAAGTGGACTTTGAGAATTTTAAGATCTTATCTACTGAACAATGCGGCTAAGCCAATTCAAAGCCACGCGTGCATCACTCTGACTCAGGCCTGGCGTGCACTGGGAGCAGAAGCACCCTGCACAGAAATAGAAAAGAGCCATAGGCTTTGGATTTTTTTGCAGTCACAATTATCATGCCCATAGAAAAGTGTACTGGAGTGTGTACCAAGACTTGGAACCAACAAGACACACTATATATATATATATGGAGAGAGCCATACAGACCTAGTACTCAATAGAAACTGGGAGCTGCTCACTCAGTCTTCGGCAGTCATTCCCTGTTGTTGCGGCACCAGCTCGGACTGAGGTGAGGCAAAGTTTGTTGGAATCGCTGATATGTCTCTTAGCCATGTGTCAATTCTTTCCAGATCTTTGCCAACTTCTCAAGAAATTGATGACAACTAGATAAAACAACTAGATTCCCTTACTGGACACAGAAATCTGCAACATCTGCAGATCCAAGACGATCACGTTGATAAGCGGAGTTCGAGCCTTGACATGGATGCGCATGGATCTGCAACTTTCAGCATTGCAATCAAGATTGGCTTTGACCAGCTGCAGGTTTCTCGTGCCATAGGATTCGCTCAATCTCCAAAGCACTTGGCAAGACTCCAGGGTGCCAAGGAGAACGGCGTTGAACGTAACTCACCATATCTCACCATAAACACTTCAGTGGCACCCTACCAGCATACCAAGATCTAAGGATGCCTTCAACAAGGCTTAAAGTAATTTAAAGTATGAAGCAAGAACATAGCTATTGAAGCGAATCTCTCTGGTTCGAACAAATTATTGCGAAACCCCGCAGTCCATGTGCCAATGAGAGCAGGGAGGAAACGGCAGTCTCCAAACAAAATTGTTTCCATACAGGCAATGGATTTCTAAGATCCATACAGGAGATCCACCCGGCATGATCTCAGTGCAACGGTTTCTGCTTCAGTGTTGTCAGGATCTTTTCTCAAGGATTCTAACATCTAACGTATATAGTTCTGAGGACCTCCACAAGAAACTTCAACAGAGTTCGAGTGAACACTCAAATAACTTGTCTCCAAACTCAGCCCAGCACTGCAATTTAGGACAGCACTTGCAGGAAAGTTACTATGCGTGATTTCAGCCAAATGCTGCAAGCAAACCAAACAAAGAATAGACAGCCCTGCAAGGCTCAGAGACCCAAGCTTAGCTCGTGTCATGTCGGCATTCCTCTATTGCAACATGCAACACAGTCCTGGCAGAACCTCTTTCCCTCGCAGGTGACTTTCGTCAGAGGTGGGAAGTTTCGGAAGCTCATTCCCTCGGCTTGTCGATGCAACACTCCTTCAACGAGGAAGACGGGACATGATGCAAAGTGGCCGAGTGGCATCTGGATTAAACATGGAAACTCTAGGTGCCAGATTACCATTCACCTGCTTAGGAATACAACCCTGCAAATGTACTGATTGCCTATTGTCGACCAAAAAAAGAAACTTACCTTGTTCCTCCCATAGCTCCTCATCTGTGTTACCCTGGTGCTTCTCCTGGCAATGAGAACTGCAAAGACGTCAAAGGGACATACATCTTCTAGGGGAACAAAGACACAGAATTCAGCTTTCTGCCAGGGCAGAGGATACTTTGCACATGCTCAACAAGGACGCACCATCTCCCTCATCCTACTGATGAACACAGCTCCCGACAACACAAAAACAAGCCCCGACAAAGCAAGTCGTTTGTTGTACTCCAAAGACTGTGAGTCACTGTGAGTTTCAGCTATCGCAGCAAAATAATCTGGCTCAGGGCACCACGTTGGGCATTCGCATTTTTGTGTCAGTTGAACAGCAGTAGTCCTGGTCCCAAGAGTTGGAAACAAAAGAATAAAACAATATGTAATTAGCATGTAAAATGGACTCTGCACAAGTCAGTTGCATATCCACTTCCAATGCTGTGGCCGCATTTGCATTCACAGTTTGAATTTACAGGTTGTAAAATGGCTCTCAAGGCCCAGGCAGAGCACCAACGAGGGTCATAGCACTCCACATCTGAAGAGCCGAGCATACCTGGCTCTGTCTTCCTGGCCGCAAGAAAAATCGGAGAACAGGCTGAACATAGCAGAACTATGTGCTGAACTAAGCTGTCATCATTATTCATTATCTATACTCATCTGTCATCTGCGAGCCTCTTCCAGCGAGTGGGATGTTCAGTGGTATATTGGCTACAGTACATTGGCAAGCAGCACCTCGGGATCTTCTGGCAGTATGGACTCAGTATATACTGTTTTGAAGGGCTCTTGGACTGACCAGAACCACTCACACTCGTTTTGCAGGTGCAAAATCCTAAGATCGTTTGTTTTGGAGAGATAACTCAAACAGCTCGAGTCATCTCGAGTCATGAAAATATGCGAGCCCTCGGGTTGCAGGATGCCATCTTCAACGGTGGAGAAATTTGAACTTATATATAATTATATATGCATATGATAATTATGTGTGTATATAGACTCGACTATTATATATACTATATGTAGATAGAGAGAGAGAGAGGGAGAGAGAGAGAGAGAGAGCGCGGAAGAGAGAGAGAGAGAGAGAGCGCGGAAGGGAGAGAGAGAGAGAGAGAGAGAGCGAGACAGAGGAGAAGAAGAAGAAGAGGAAAAAGAAGAAGAAAAAAAATGCGACCATGGGCTTTCCACCCAATTCGCCAAGTGGCTCCTCGTTCGTGCTTCCTTGCCTTAGAAAATTGAGAAGTTTCGATGTGCATTCCCCTTCTAAGGGAATGCTTCTCGGCACCCCCCCATTTTCAAGTGGGTCTGGGAGTTTTGTGCAGTGCTTTGCATCTTTAAGCGAACTGCCATTTGTAGGTGTTGGTGTTCACCTTCTTGTACCATTGCGTTCCCTCAGACAAGGTGAGGAGCTTATATAAGGCAGACTGCACAATTTTTTTGACATGTTATCTGCGCCTCTTCAAATCACAACTTTGAATCGACAATTGTGATGTCAGCTGAGGACAGGACAACACCGGTGCCGTTTTTGTCAGTGTCGCAAACCTTGCTGCCATGCGACTCATGACATTTGTCGTCTAGAAATTGGATATTGTCCGTACAATCTGTGTCTAAGCCGTGCTTCTTAGGAAGCATCTCCGGCAGAATACCCTTTCACTGACTGACCGTCTTACATCGTCTTACTATATATCATACAACCCAAGACCTTGAAAGTGTTGATACCTTCAAGTTCAACCTTCTTGGACGCTTTCGACGGCCTCATGAACCAAAACCATAAAACCAAATCCCTTTAACCCACATGAAACCTCTGGAGACTGGGGACTTTTAAATGCGGCTCTTGTCTTCTGCGGAAGCCACTCTAGGTATACCCATGAAGTTGCCTAAGCTATGGGTTTTCAAACAATGTCGAACAATCCCCTTGATCAACCATCACCGCCAATAACCTTACCTTGTCCTTCATTAGTGAACAGATACTTCCCGAGCACCCCACGAAGTCATTGCAGAAAATAGGCTCGCAGCACCTTCGAGCAGGGCTTTACACAAAACACTACAGAGTCTGCGTTCACTACTAGTAGGTTTCTGTCAATATTTCATCATTATGTCTGCAATTGGACTACGTGACTAGGGTCCACAGCAGTCTTCATCGAGTTTTGATCCTGAGCATTGCACTGCTCGAAGGTGCTGCCCAACAAGGTGCCATCGTTCTCTTTTGGCCTGGGCAACAGCGCCAGGGGGAAGTAATGCATAAATAACACGCACAGCCCAGCGGGAATGCATCTCTTTTTGCGGGCAATATTTTGAAATCAGAGATCATTTCGAGGTGTCTTACCACATGGGGCGCTCACACGTGTCAGCATAGTCTGCGAGTCAAGATACTTCCACTGGGTGGCAGGGTCGCAAACTTCTGGAAGGCAAACTAGCTTGTCGCAACACTCCTGCATGCAGCTGCAAAGCTTGTCCGGAGTTTCAACAGAACCTCAGGCGATGTTCCAAGGGAGGTCCTCTGAACCTGTGGCTGTTTCAACTTGAACACTCCCCTCTGCAACAAGTTCGTCAAGTCAATACCTCCGGCTGTCCTCGTCTGACCAGCCCTTTCGATCAGTGTTGGCCATGGCATTCTGCGCTGCACCTCAAAAGGAGTTTGCACACGGAGTGGCCACATAAGTGTAAGCAATGGTGACCTGTCACGTGAGAGATCCATGAATCGCACAGACAGATCTTGACTATGCCCTCCAACTAGCGAGACAAAAACTGGCGCAGCCAACTACACCGAGGAATTTGAAAAGCAAATCTTACTACAAACCATCGTCTCAACATGTCTCAACATCATTGCCAAACGAGGCCAACCTTGAGGCAAACAGACAATCTCTATGATCGAGCACTGCATAAGCACAAAGGTCTTGATGCATCTGATATTATACTATACAGATCTATACAGTACACATGCTTATACTTCTTATCAGATCTTATCAGTAGTTCCCAAATCCTTGGAGGTTACCAAGGTTACCACTGAAGCTACCGCTTTAGCATCTTTTGGTTACCTGGTCGCCGAAGTTTCTGGTCTGAGCTTCCGAGCGGTGGACCCACTTGGTGGGATCACTGCATTTCCAGTCTTTGCAGCTCTTCCTGCAGGAAGAGACGACTGGAGCTGTTGGAGCATCTATGATCATCTAAAAACATCTATATAAGATCACAATCATATAATTACATGATGTCTCTTCCCCTTCAACTGAATCATCCTCTGCAAAAAGAAGGCACCAAGCAATTTCACTGTATGTTTGTTCTTGAATCTGCTTGTTTCATTTTTGTTCAGTCTAAACGATCTTAATCAACGCATGTCAACGCGACTTCGGGATGCTGTCCTCTCACAGCATTCTTCGTCCGTGCTGCCCAGGCGATGGAAAGGGTTCACCAAGAGCTGCAAGGACTTAGCCGCTTAGCCATACAAATGTAATGTAATCATACACGCGTCATCACGCGTGAGTCCGGGGAAACGCGGAGATTACAGCATTCTAAACTTCGTCCGCGAGGCACTCAACGAGTTGACGAGTTGACCTCAATGCCAAGTTGCATCATCGCTGCACTTGTAACGGTTGCAGGTCTGCTTCTCACAGCATTCCTCTGTGGTGTTGCCTAGCAAGATTAGCAAGTTCAAATGCAAGCGTCAAATAATCTAAGCTCTTTCGGACCAGAAATTGCACGGCAAGTACGGCAATAGCCGATAAATTCCTCTCCGGAGATTTGCTGTATTTTGTTGAAATCGATCGATGTATGGATCAAATGAGCTTATATATCCCCGTATGGTGCTGCGCTCAGACTGGATCCATGGTTTTTATCGCAGCATGTGGGTTGAAAACCTTATGGTTTGACGTTTTGAGGCAGAGTTGAAAACCTTGACTCAACCGACCCCCTCAAAGTTGCCACACCACTAGCCCGGGCATTGTGCAAGGGGATGAAAACCTATGACCCTGAGGTTACAAAATCTAATCAGACTGAATTCTGGCAAAAGATGAAATCCTTTGCCCCTGAGGTTCAACATCTGATCATGCTGAAATCCAGGCAAAAAATGAAACCCATAGTGTTCAAGGTGCAACATTTGTTAATATATCCCCGTTGGGTGTTCAACTTAGGGTGCAGCACCAGGTTTTCATCCCAAACACCTAGTTTAAAAACCTGGAGGGCCAAGGTATGAGCAAAAAAAAAGTGAAACGATGAAAAGCCGACCACATCCCTATTAATCAAGGTACAAAAAATTAAACTCAGTGTGTCTGGGGTATGTTGAAACTTGAAAAAAAATGGCACAAGAGATGAAAACAGCAGTGCTCAGCGTATGTTCAAAAAAAACCCTTAAATTGTAAAATCAAAACTTCACCAGAGAACGGTCAACCACACCCTTTTCATCCCACCCAGCTTCTGTTATGAACTTTGCCGGATCAGCTCTCCATATTACACCACGCATGTGTGCCAACCAATCCTGAACCAACGTCCCAAGACACACTACAAACTTCAATCCGAAAATTTTCATCTCACACATCCCTGTTTCGAACTTTGCCTGAACAACTCTTAACAGATGACACCACGCATGTGTGCCAACCCATCCTGAACCAATGTTGCAAAGACACACCACAAAACCTCAGACCCTAAGATTTTCATCTCACACATCCCTGTTTTGAACTTTGCCGGAGCAGCTCTCCATATTACACCACGCATGCGTGCCAACCCATCCTGAACCAACGTCCCAAGACACACTACAAACTTCAATCCGAAAATGTTCATCTCACACATCCCTGTTTCAAACTTTGCCTGAACAACTCTTAACAGATGACACCACGCATGTGTGCCAACCCATCCTGAACCAATGTTGCAAAGACACACCACAAAACCTCAGACCCTAAGATTTTCATCTCACACATCCCTGTTTTGAACTTTGCCGGAGCAGCTCTCCATATTACACCACGCATGTGTGCCAACCCATCCTGAACCAACGTCCCAAGACACACTACAAACTTCAATCCGAAAATTTTCATCTCACACATCTCTGTTTCGAACTTTTCCGGAACAACTCGGAACAGATTACACCACGCATGTGTGCCAACCCTGAACCAATGTTGCAAAGACACACCACAAAACCTCAGACTCTAAGATTTTCATCTCACACATCCCTGTATTGAACTTTGCCGGAACAGCTCTCCATGTTACACCACGCATGTGTGCCAACCCATCCTGAAGACACACCACAAAATCTCAGACCCCAAAATGTTCATCTCACACATCCCTCTTTTGAACTTTGCCGGAGCAGCTCTCCATATTACACCACGCATGTGTGCCAACCCCGAGCCAACGTCGGAAAGAATTACCACAAAACCTCAGACCCTAAGATTTTTATCTCACACATCCCTGTGTTGAACTTTGCCGGAACAGCTCTCCATATTACACCACGCATGTGTGCCAACCCATCCTGAACCAACGTCCCAAGACACACTACAAACTTCAAATCCAAAAATTTTCATCTCACACATCCCTGTTTCGAACTTTGCCTGAACAACTCGGAACAGATGACACCACACATGTGAGCCAAGCCATCCTGTACCAACGTCCCAAGATACAGCATAAACGACTAATGACTCAATTTTGCAAACCCATCCTCATCCAACCTCTCAAGATACACCTCTCAAAATTTCAATGTTCACCGTATAGGCGTCAAAAATGTCGAGCCTTGCAAGAAGACATGGTCGAATGAAAACCTGTGTGCAACCTTCAGGCCAAAAATGGTTCTCAGTACGCTTCAGTGGTTGAAACTACATGTGCCCAACCTATTGCAACTAGACGACGGTTGGCCCGAGAGCGAAAAAGATGTTTTTCAAGCAGCTCTGAGGATGGTAGTCGTAAAAGATAGTCGGTGAATAGTGTGAAAGATATGGTGTGAAAAAAGTAAGATTGATCAAGAAGAGAATATTTGGTAAAGGGCATCAGATGACATGTGTCTTGCAACCACAGAGAGAAAGAGGGGGCAGAGATAAAGAGAGAGAGAGAGAAAGAGAGAGAGAGAGAAAGAGAAAGCAAGAGAGAGAGAGAGAGAATGAAAGGGGGGGGTAGAAAGAAAACATGAAGAAATGTAATGTGAGCAACAAAAGTGCACAGGAGGCTCAGTGCCATGAGTCTGCGAATGACATGTGCTATCTCATTTTATTATGGTAATTCCCACACACATTGCGGAAAAAGGCGCGGCACCATCATTCCGTGAACGCGAAGAAACGCGACGCTTTTATACAGAGACGCTTTTACACACAGAATCTTTTACACATAAACACTTTTACACACAGACGCTTTCACACAGAGACGTTTTTCATGCACACACACACAGACGCATTTCCACACAGAGACTTTTACACGAAAACACTTTAACACACAGACGCTTTTATACACAGACTCTTTTACACACACACGCTTTTACATGCAGATGCCTTTTTACAGACGCACGCACACTTTCACACACAAACGCTTTTACGCACAGACGCTTTTGCACACAGACACAGACGCTTTTCCACACGGACCCTTTCACACACAGACGCTTTTACACACAAAGTCGCAATTTTTCCTCAGTTTTTGACGTCCAACGTCCATTTCGCGCGTAAGGGTTGCGATTGACACCTCAAAGTCGCAATTTTTCCTCAGTTTTTGACGTCCAACGTCCATTTCGTGCGTAAGGGTTGCACGGGACACCTCAAAGTTGCAATTTTTCCTCAGTTTTTGACGTCCAACGTCCATTTCGTGCGAAAGGGTTGCGCGCGACCAATAAAAGTTGCAGTTTTTCGTCAGTTTTTGACGTCCAACGTCCATTTCGTGCGAAAGGGTTGCGCGCGACCAATAAAAGTTGCAGTTTTTCCTCAGTTTTAATAAAAGTTGCAAATTTTCCTCAGTTTCTGACGTCCAACGTCCATTTCGTGCGAAAGGGTTGCGCGCGACCAATAAAAGTTGCAATTTTTCCTCAGTTTTTGACGTCCAACGTCCATTTCGTGCGAAAGGGTTGCGCGCGACCAATAAAAGTTGCAATTTTTCCTCAGTTTTTGGCGTCTAACGTCCATTTCGTGCGAAAGGGTTGCCGGCGACGCTTCAAAATCGCAATTTTACCTAGGTTTTGGACGTCCAACGTCCATTTCGTGCGAAAGGGTTGCGTTTCGTGGCGCTCCGGCGGTACCGCCCCCGCCTTAAGAGAGAATAGAAGAAGAGCGAGAGGAGATCTGCAGATGTGAAGGTGTGAAGATGTAGATCTGCAGATGTGAGGGTGTGAAGATGTAGATCTGCAGATGTGAAGGTGTGATGATGTAGATCTGCAGATGTGAGGTGTGAAGATCTAGATCTGCAGGTGTGAAGGTGTGAAGATCTAGATCTGCAGGTGTGAGGGTGTGAAGATCTAGATCTGCAGGTGTGAAGGTGTGAAGATCTAGATCTGCAGGTGTGAGGGTGTGAAGATCTAGATCTGCAGGTGTGAGGGTGTGAAGATTTAGATCTGCAGATGTGAGGGTGTGAAGATCTAGATCTGCTGCAGGTGTGAGGGTGTGAAGATCTAGATCTGCAGATGTGAGGGTGTGAAGATCTAGATCTGCAGGTGTGAGGGTGTGAAGATCTAGATCTGCAGGTGTGAAGGTGTGAAGGTGTAGATCTGCAGATGTGAGTGTGTGAAGATCTAGATCTGCAGGTGTGAGGATGTGAAGATCTAGATCTGCAGGTGTGAAGGTGTGAAGATCTAGATCTGCAGATGTGAGGGTGTGAAGATCTAGATCTGCAGGTGTGAAGGTGTGAAGATCTAGATCAGCAGATGTGAAGGTGTGAAGATGTAGATCAGCAGATGTGAAGGTGTGAAGATGTAGTATAACGGCTGCTTTTTTACGAAGAACCCTTCGCAGGCGCTCTCGGGAAAAATGCTCTCAAGAGGTGTTCCCTTGGATGAAATCCTTCGGCTTCATGGTGAATTTAAAATCAAAATTATAAAAGATGTAAAAAGGGACCAAAAGATAAAAAGCTGAGGCCCAACATTCTTGGGGCTAAATTTGGCTAAAATGGGGTTAAATTTTGAGGCTCCAGCTCACCCTTTTCATCCAGGAGCCCCAAACGGGGATGTTAATATGCAAACCAATGGTGACTACGAGGTGCTCAAGCATTCATTTCCTATGCTGGCTTCTTAGTGATTTATGTGATTTGTGATGATGATCGAATTCCAATGAAAACCAAGGATCAAGGTTTGTACATGCAGCAATCAAATAGAAAATGAAAACCTAGAGCTGAGATTACACCATTAGTTTGGTGGAAACCTGTGACATTGAATAAAGACCTAGGGCCCAACGTACATACTACATCATCAGCCTACACACCCCTTTGGGATGAAAACTTGAAGCCCCAGGGTATCTACAGACTTAAATTCTGAACCACTGCCATGGGATGAAAACCTATTTCAAAAGAAGATCCAAGGTATGAAAGTGGGATGAATTCTTCTGGATGAATTGGTGTTTTTGGAGGGTCCAGCCTATGGGATTAATCTTGCAGCACCGAACGGGGATCTTATATATTCTTTCATAATGAGCAAGGTGAGATTCTGATCGTTGCCATTGGATGACACTCGGAACACGTCCAAATCAGACCAGGATGAAAATTAGAGAGTCTAAACATGTCTAAACTCCAGCCACCCACATCCCAATGCTCTGCTCACTCGCTGCCTACAAGGGCACCAGGCTTCGGCTTCCACTTTGTGTTGTTGGGGCACTTGAAGGTCTAGGCGAACTGTGACCGGAAGAGAAAGTGTGGAGGGTTCTACTCAATGGTATTGCATCTTTTACGAGGACGTGTACAATGTTGTAGCTTCCTTTACCCTCACCTGTTTTGCAGTTTACGAAACCACTACACCTACGTGCCTTGCCTTACATATTTCTCACTCCTTCTCTTGATTTTAGCATAGCTTATTTACAGGACGTGCATCCCAATTTCAGTGCCGAGGCACGTCACACTTCATGACGTCGCAGCAAGTGTCGCGGTCAGCGCCCTTCAGCATGTCTGCTCCAGGCTGGCGCGAAGTGGCAAGGCAGATGTTTTCGCCCCAAATGTCAAAAGGATTCCGTGGAGGAGGGTCTAAGATTTCTACAATTTCCATATCCTGTGAATTCCCGCGATATAGATTTCTAAACAAGAGTTGCAAGAGGGTCCAGTAATTATTTCGTATCATAATAAACATACATATATATATGTATAAATATATATATAAATATATGTATATGTATAAATCTATATATATATATACATATATATTGCTGTTCCTGCTGCTTTTGGTCCGGAAAATGATGCTCTGAACAAAACAACTCAGGGCGGCATATTTGCCTCAGAGGAAGCTTGCTCAAAATGGCAAATCAACCGATTTTCAACCGTTCTGCCACCAGTACCTCGGCCTTCTCCCCCTATTCACTTCCCGTGCACCTTCAGCCCATATTTCTTGCTGGGAGTGCAAACAAAGTCTTTGCAGAATAGCGGTGCGCAGCACTCCTGATCAGTCACGAATTCAAACATCCGAAGTGCGCTTGTCAGAAAAATTGCTGAGAAAGACAGTTTACAAAATGTATCAGGCACAAACTGTGCAAGCTAAACATGTCTGGATGACTGCGTCCGTGCTACCCTTTCTGGCAACACCTGTTTCGCAGCGCGTGGAGTTCTGGCTGCAGCCCACAGGTTTCTCCACACAGCAAAACCTTCAAGTGAATCCTAAACCACATGACCCAGAAAATATGAAACAGGTAAGACTGAATCTTACCTTCAGACCGAAAAGTACAAATGAGTGGATGGATTTGCCACTTTTGTAGAAGCTAATCAGTTGAAAAGCATGAAAAAGTGTTTCTCTAAAAGGAGCTCTATGCTTCTGTGCACTCCTGCGTTTCTCTCCGTGCCTTCGGACTCCCAAATATCCAGCTTTTCTGGGCAAACAGTCGGGCTGTTGAGAACTGCTTGGGTAAATCAAGACGCCTTTCAGCCTACAGAAAACGCCTGAAAGGGGCACACGAATGGACTGCCAAGTGGACATATTGCCCGTAGGTTCTGTACAAAGTCACCTGCTTCCTCTTCCGCCAACATTCCCGCAACCAAAGGGAGCTACAAGCAATTTTCCTTTTGAGCATGATGACTTCTGGAGAACTCCTCTTGTCACGACACTCCGCTGATAAACGCTTCTTTCTTGAATCATCCAAGAGTCTGTTCGCGATGGCATCGCTGCAAGTGTGAGTAGCGCATAACTCGGAACAGTTGTTTGGATGGGCAGAACAGAAAGAACAGCAAGAGCAGCTACGACTCACAAAGTCTTGCCATGAGAAGGCACTTTACATTTTATGGCAACGGACTCTGCAACAGCTATGAAAGAGGCAAGGCATACCGTTGAGCCTACTTGCATGGCAAGGTCTGCAGCGTTGTTTGCTTGTTCACATCTCTGGAAGTCACGACTGAAAAGCGCGAAACTTCTGAGAGGCACGACCCTCTCTTCACAGCAGTCCTCTGGAGTGCTTCCCACCAGCCCTGCGTCACCTAGCAGCTGGCAAAGAGCGGTTTGAGGATCACTCTGAACGGAATGGACTGTATCATCTGTATCCGGTCGAATAGGCCCAAATTATATAGATATATAGAAGACAATCGAGAGCTTGCGACAGCTGCTCTCGGGGATGCCTTTGTCCTTCCACTTTGTCTCATTGGCGCCTGAGTACACTACAACGTGCCAAAACAAGGCGTGAAGCGGAAACATCCTTCTTCTAACATGCTCCAACTTCATGCAGCATCAAGATCAGTACCCCAAAAAGCGGAATGGCTGGGTGTGACGGAAGTACATAAAAACTTGATTTTGTTTTAGCTAGCTCCAAAAATGATGTGGTTTGTGCACTGATTCCTTTTCCGTTCTGGTGCAAGTTGCTCTATTCCTGGTTCCGATACACACCAAGGCGTGAAATGAAATTGATGGTGGTCGCAGACAAAAACAACTTATCTCACTGAAATGGCAAACTTCACTCTGCACGCGGAGGCAAAGTGGTTCATTCTTGAGGGACATCCCGCAGTGTGGAAACATGTAATGTACAGAATGGGATAGTGTGACCAAGCCCGACCTGTCAGCCTGAAAATGCACTTTATGTACAGTTCACTAGCCTGATGCTATCCAATCATCTAGTAACATCACCAATACATAAACCAAGCAATACATAAACCAAGCAAGTTTGCTAAGTTCAAGTCTTCTTTGGATGTTTTGTTCGTATGTTCTCTTGCTTACCAATTTTTGATAAGAGCTGTTGAAGCTAATGCGCGGCATAATACCAGGATGGGAGGCAACAGTGAAGACATTGCTTAGGCTATTAGGGCATGTGCAGGGACGGGATGCAGCTGCTTTGATATCGTGTCTATCGAAGTGTTGGTGAGCGGGAGGGTGTGGCCTGCAGGCTTAGAGTGATAGATTCTGATAGATTGTGCTGGATAGTACTGGATGAGTAGAGATGTTGATTTAAAGATCAAGTTTTAGCTCCACAAGGTCAGACTTCAGTGTATTTCACCATGTGCCTGATGTCCCTTATCAATAAAATATGACGAAACAGCTTTGAGATGCTTTGAGCAACAAAGCCAGAGTTGACAAAGTCGAAGTCTGAGGATCTCGCAGAGCTTTGGAGGGCAATAGTTTGGAATGCAGCAAGTCTCCACGTTGAAGCCAGCTTTGCCAGTGGACTCAGCGACGAAGCGAGTTTGCTATGACACCAGTCAGGTGCTGCCAAAAACCCTTGTACCCTCTAGACATGCTCTCATGCCTTTTACCCGGTTTTGTATACTTTTTTGTGATATTATATATATTATATAATTATAATATATATATATATAAATATCCGCCGACCCCTGCCGACAGCAGGGGGAGCGCGTCAGAGGAGGAATTACCAGCAGCAAGGGCCAAGAAGTCATTACAAGCAGCAAGGGCAAGAAGCAAGAAAACATGAAAGAAGAAGCAAGAAGCAAGAAACAATTACAGGCAACAAGCGGCAAGAAGCAAGAAACAAGAAGCCAGGAAGCAACAAGCGGCTGGAAGACAGGTCAGAGAAGTCATTACAAACAGCAAGGGCAAGAAGGAAGAAAACAAGAAAGAAGAAGCAAGAAGCAAGAAGCAATTACAAGCAACAAGCGGCAAGAAGCAAGAAACAAGAAGCCAGGAAGCAACAAGCGGGTGGAAGACAGGTCAGAGAAGCAAGAAACAAGAAGCCAGGAAGCAACAAGCGGCTGGAAGACAGGTCAGAGAGCTAGTTTTCTTGTCGATTCAGAAAGCAACGTTAGGCAGGCGGCTGGAAGACAGGTCAGAGAGCTAGTTTTCTTGTCGATTCAGAAAGCAACGTTAGGCAGGCGGCTGCAAGACAGCTCAGAGAGCTAGTTCTTGTAGGTTGAGAAAGCAACGTTAGGCACTGGGGGCTGTTGCCCGGAGGCTCGGTCCGTCCTTCAGGGCCCTGCTGTTTTGCTGTGGCGGAGGCGCCGTTTGTGAGCCTTGACGGCTGGAAGAGAGCTAGTTTGGGAGCCGTTGCCCGGAGGCTCGGTCCGTCCTTCAGGGCCCTGCTGTTTTGCTGTGGCGAGGGCGCAGTTTGTGAGCCTTGACGGCTGGAAGAGAGCTAGTTTTCTTGTAGGTTCAGAAAGCAACGTTAGGCAGTGGGAGCCGTTGCCCGGAGGCTCGGTCCGTCCTTCAGGGCCCTGCTGTTTTGCTGTGGCGGAGGCGCCGTTTGTGAGCCTTGACGGCTGGCAGAGAGCTAGTTTGGGAGCCGTTGCCCGGAGGCTCGGTCCGTCCTTCAGGGCCCTGCTGTTTTGCTGTGGCGAGGGCGCCGTTTGTGAGCCTTGACGGCTGGAAGAGAGCTAGTTTTCTTGTAGGTTCAGAAAGCAGCGTTAGGCAGTGGGAGCCGTTGCCCGGAGGCTCGGTCCGTCCTTCAGGGCCCTGCTGTTTTGCGTGGAGGAGGCGCCGTTTGTGAGCCTTGACGGCTGGAAGAGAGCTAGTGTGGGAGCCGTTGCCCGGAGGCTCGGTCCGTCCTTCAGGGCCCTGCTGTTTTGCTGTGGCGAGGGCGCCGTTTGTGAGCCTTGACGGCTGGAAGAGAGCTAGTTTTTTGTAGGTTCAGAAAGCAACGGTAGGCAGTGGGAGCCGTTGCCCGGAGGCTCGGGCCGTCCTTCAGGGCCCTGCTGTTTGGGCGTGGCGGAGGCGCCGTTTGTGAGCCTTGACGGCTGGAAGAGAGCTAGTTTGGGAGCCGTTGCCCGGAGGCTCGGTCCGTCCTTCAGGGCCCTGCTGTTTTGCTGTGGCGAGGGCGCCGTTTGTGAGCCTTGACGGCTGGAAGAGAGCTAGTTTTCTTGTAGGTTCAGAAAGCAACGTTAGGCAAGTGGGAGCCGTTGCCCGGAGGCTCGGTCCGTCCTTCAGGACCCTGCTGTTTGGGCGTGGCGGAGGCGCCGTTTGTGAGCCTTGACGGCTGGAAGAGAGCTAGTTTTGGAGCCGTTGCCCGGAGGCTCGGTCCGTCCTTCAGGGCGCTGCTGTTTTGCTGTGGCGAGGGCGCCGTTTGTGAGCCTTGACGGCTGGAACAGAGCTAGTTTTCTTGTCGGTTCAGAAAGCAACGTTAGGCACTGGGAGCCGTTGCCCGGAGGCTCGGTCCGTCCTTCAGGGCCCTGCTGTTTGGGCGTGGAGGAGGCGCCGTTTGTGAGCCTTGACGGCTGGAAGAGAGCTAGTTTGGGAGCCGTTGCCCGGAGGCTCGGTCCGTCCTTCAGGGCCCTGCTGTTTTGCTGTGGCGAGGGCGCCGTTTGTGAGCCTTGACGGCTGGAAGAGAGCTAGTTTTCTTGTAGGTTCAGAAAGGGTTCAGAAAGCAACGTTAGGCAGTGGGAGCGGTTGCCCGGAGGCTCGGTCCGTCCTTCAGGGCCCTGCTGTTTGGGCGTGGCGGAGGCGCCGTTTGTGAGCCTTGACGGCTGGAAGAGAGCTAGTTTGGGAGCCGTTGCCCGGAGGCTCGGTCCGTCCCCGTCCTTCAGGGCCCTGCTGTTTTGCTGTGGCGAGGGCGCCGTTTGTGAGCCTTGACGGCTGGAAGAGAGCTAGTTTTCTTGTATAGGGTCAGAAAGCAACGTTAGGCAGTGGGAGCCGTTGCCCGGAGGCTCGGTCCGTCCTTCAGGGCCCTGCTGTTTTGCTGTGGCGAGGGCGCCGTTTGTGAGCCTTAACGGCTGGAAGAGAGCTAGTTTTCTTGTAGGTTCAGAAAGCAACGTTAGGCAGTGGGAGCCGTTGCCCGGAGGCTCGGTCCGTCCTTCAGGGCCCTGCTGCTTGGGCGTGGCGGAGGCGCCGTTTGTGAGCCTTGACGGCTGGAAGAGAGCTAGAAAGCAACGTTAGGCAGTGGGAGCTGTTGCCCGGAGGCTCGGTCCGTCCTTCAGGGCCCTGCTGTTTGGGCGTGGCGGAGGCGCCGTTTGTGAGCCTTGACGGCTGGAAGAGAGCTAGTTTGGGAGCCGTTGCCCGGAGGCTCGGTCCGTCCTTCAGGGCCCTGCTGTTTTGCTGTGGCGAGGCTGCCGTTTGTGAGCCTTGACGGCTGGAAGAGAGCTAGTTTTCTTGTAGGTTCAGAAAGCAACGTTAGGCAGTGGGAGCCGTTGCCCGGAGGCTCGGTCCGTCCTTCAGGGCCCTGCTGTTTGGGCGTGGCGGAGGCGCCGTTTCTGAGCTTGGAAAGCTGGAAGACGGCTACTTTTCTTGTAGGTTCAGAAAGCATTGTGGGGCATTGCCGTGCGGTGTGGCAACCTTAAGCTGGAAACGTCATCAGGTATGCACGCGCCACTGGTTGGTGCGACACTGCCGGCCGCTGGGATTGCGATGCGTTACCCGAATTCGGCCGGAAGCCAGTGTTGAGTGCACCACCGTGCCGCATGTTGGACATGCATGCGAATATGTGCGACCTGCGAGCAGGCCATTGGCAACGCGAAATTGTTTGCCGCAGCCATTACCGCGGCGGTGATCGACGCGCCCTGTTGCCACAGGGCTTTGCACAGACTTAGCACAGTACGGGCAGATGTATATGTGCAGTCGTGGCGGTGCTGTGTCAGGCCCGACAGCAAGCTGCTGGTTCGATGAGTGGGCAGTGTCCGTTTTGGGACCTTCTGTTCGCGTGGAAGTTTGTCTTGCTTCGTGTGTTTCCTGAATTTCCTTGCGAATGTCCTCTAGGATTGCTGCGTGCCGGTGGCGGGTTTCGCGTTGGCGCAAGCGGGCCAGGCGTTGATTCGTGCGATGAGCAAGACGGCAAACGAAGGCAAAGGCTGTGCATGCGTTGCATACTTGTGTGCCGTCTTGAGTATATTCACGACCTTGTTGCCAAGCTGTAAACTCTGTTCGTGGCTTGCGTTCCGCGCACATGGAACACATGAAAACAGACCAGCGACTTTGACTGAGCTTCGGCCGCCATCACTGTGGAAGATGTTCACTGCAGGAAGGGTTCCAAACTCACTCTCTCCCAGGGGTCGGCGGCAGGGGGCGTAGCCCCTTAATTAGCCTCTGAAACTGGCTCGAACCATGTACCGCAGGATCATTGGGATGAGTAGATAAACCAAATAAAGCCAGGCCAGGCCCCAGCCACAAAATCCTACCTACTGCTGTCGATTCTGCATTCAAGAAAACAGATGCAAACGGACAAGGACTGCCAAAGACGTACTGTATCTTGTAGCAAGAAATGAACACAGAATCTATGTCACTATAGACATCTATGGTGAGATCCTATTCCTATGAGCTATCAAATGCACTACGTACCATAACAACACATAACA